GAGCGTGGGGCTGGGTGTGGCGGTGCACACCCGTGACCCCAGCGCTCTGGGAGGCTGAGGCAGGAGGATCACAAGTTAGAACCAGCCTGGGCAACTGAGCGAGACCTCGTCTCGAAACTGTGACAGGGCTGGGGATGGAACTTAGGGTGAGGGCCTTGGGTCCGATCCCCATACAAGCAAACATACACCTCAACGCCAAACACCCCCCAGAGCAGGGTTCCGGCCAGCCTCCTCCCCCACCCCGGCCCCGCTGCTCAGGGCTTCTGCACACTGCTCGGACCCTCTGAGCCTTCCCTCTGCAGCCAGGCTGGGCTGGGCACACACGGCTGCATGGTGTCGCACATGTCCCCCCCTTTCTTGTTTCCTGGGCAGGAAAACCACATTGACCCCACTTTCACCAATAAAGTTTTATTGGCTGTGCGTGCTGGGGTGCAGCGGGGTGCTGAGGAGCCCGAGGTGTCACCACCGGGCCTGAGATGGGACCTAGCGGCTCTTGCTGTGGCTGCAGGGTCAGTACAGTGACAGACGGGCGTGTAACCCTGCAGGCTGCCGAGCCGCTCCAGCCTACTCACGGGTGATGGGACTTGCGGGGGACCAGCTCAGGGGTTCACACCTGGGCCCCGGCCACCGCCCGCCACTCCTCTCCTCCCCTGCTTCCCCGCTTCAGAGGCCGGTAACTGTCTGGCCTACCAGCCCTGAGCAGAAGGACAGCAACAGTGCCCGGCTACTCCCGTGGCCCCTGGGCACGGTCACTGGAGACGACGTCTCCCAGGGCCCCAAACCATCACCTGCCCTGCAGCCCACAGTGAGGGTCACACACCGACTGGGGAGGCACAGAGGGGCCAGTCGGGAAGCCGGGTCCCCGGTCACCCTGCCGCCCCTCGTGTGTCCCCTGTCTGCGGGAAGCGTGTGCCCAGGTGCAGTGCTGCTGGGGCCAGGCCAGCTCCGGGAGCGCCCTGGACACTGCAGGGGCCGAGCAGCACTCCAGCCTCCACCCGCTGTGTGCCAGCAGCTCCAGTGTGACGGCCACGTGTGTCCCACTGAAGAACTGCTGACAGACACCAGGAGGGAAACCGTCCCGGGCCAGGACACGGGAGGCTGGAGGGGCCAGGCAACTGCAAATGGGCACTCTGCAAACAGCCTCAAATCACGGAGTGGTCCGGGCCTCCAGACTGCGACGCACAGTGGTCTGAGACCTGTGTACTCACAGGCCTCTGCTTCCCCAAAGGGAAACCACAGCTCAGTCTCCCAAGTGGAGCCCAAGCCTGGCTTCTCAGAGCCACGAGCCGCCTCCTCTGCAGGGGCAGGCGGCCGCTGGGGGGACCTCCCTCCGCCGCTGAGGACCCCATTCTCAGAACAATCACGATTTGTAGGGTTTTGGCCAAGGGACAAAGTTCTGGAAGGCGGCCTCTCTGGGAACAGCCAGGGCTTTATTAGTGCTGGAGCCCATCGCTGACCGAGGCCAGCCCACCAGGCAGAGGGTGGAAAAGGGTGACGACAGCCACCGGCCCGGGGTACAGGCTAAGGGCCCGGACCACCTCCCCCGGGTGGCTTCAGGGCCCCTTTCATTCTAGCCCTGAAACCCAAACATGCCACGACACGACACGACACCCACTTGTCACCCACGGCTGATCACTTAGGAAAACGGGCACCCATCTCACTCCCTGGGCCCGCAGCTGACCGGAGCCAGCCACTGCGCATGCACCTCACACGCAGCTGGTGCAGGAGGGCAGGGGCCTGCTCCCGCCTGCTGTGCTCAGAGGCTGCAAGGAGGGCAATTCACTCCGGGACACAGAATTTGCATTGTTACTCATGCCCGTCAGCCGAGGAGTCACATACAAGGAAAGCGCAGGACATCTGTCCGCACACTGAAGACCTGGAGAGCCAGCCTGGCCGGATCCCCTGGCAATAACCTGCTGAGTCCAGCTGAAGGCCGGAGCCCACGACAATGACCCACACAAGTCCATTTCATGGATCTGTGCTGGGAAGGCCCCGAGGTCAGCAGTGGACGCTGGGAAGTCTGCGCCAGCGGGGTGAGGAGCTGTGCCAGCAGGCTGGGGCCAGGAAAGGACGCTCAGAGTAAGGACCAGGGCTCCCCCGAAAAGCACCACAGCCGCCCTCAGTGACAACGCGGTCCCACCTTCCCACAATGCCCCTCTTCCTGGCCAGGTCTCTGTTTTACCCTGGCAGCAGCCCTTGGCAGGCCAGCACCGCACTAATTCAGTTAGGCTGGGCTTGAAGCTGACCACCAGTGTTTAAGCCTACCCCACCCTCACCTTGGGCTCCTCGGATTCTGCCTGGGTCCCCACATGAGCCCCACACCACAGCCTGTTCTGTTCTGAAATACCATCAAAATGTCACTGCGGCTGGGCAGAACGGAGCCAAGTTACAGCCAGCCTTCACCTCAAAAGGAAAAATTAAAAAGGGCTGAGATGTAGCTTGGGTTCTGTTCCTAGTACTGCAAAATCCCAAACCCCAAACCCACCCTCCGTTCCCTGCTATCCTAGGGAAGCCCACACTAGGTGATCAACCCCAGGGCGCACTTCAAACCCTGTGCTCGACCCACCCCAAGCCTGGCTCGGCTGGGCACGACATTCCTGAAGGTCCTGCAGACCTTGGCACCTGCTCCTAGGCCAGCCCAGTGTTTCTAGGGAGGCCCTTTCCCAGGTCCTGTCCCCAGGCGGGTGCCCACTTCCAATTCCCTTTGGGCACCCTGCAGGGATGCCACCGGCCTGTGGGCAAATGTGGACCAGCTCCCTGGGGAGGTGGCTTCTCCTTCACCCTCAGTTTCGTCCTTGGTTCCAGACGTAAACACCCCAGGCCGCAGCCCCTCCTATTCCTGTCACCCAGGGCCCGGCGCCAGGTGCTGGCACAGCCCCAAAACCCTGAGTCAAGCAGACCGGAGCGGAGCGTGACCCTGATGGGAGCCGCTCTGACTTCTAGGAAGCCTGCGGGATCGACGTCGGCTCAAACTTTCCAGGCACCCAGTGACCCGCTGCACAGGACAGGCCACACTGCAGGGCTCGCCACGGAGCTCCCATTCACTCCTGGCTGCAGACACGGTGGGCACCTTCAGGGGCCTGACTTGGCTCCCTCCTACCTCCTACCCAGAACAGTGGCCGCTGCACGGGGCATTCTGCTCACATCTGCAACCTGACGGGAGCACACCTTCTGTCAACCTCTACAGAAGAACACTAGACAGATACTGGGGACCATGTGACGCCAGGGCTATGATGCTCAAAGGAGGCACTTCCACTCCAAGAGCCTCAACCCAACTGGTCTTTGCTCCTAGTATTGGGAACTGAACCCAGGGCCTTTGCACTGAACTCCCTGCCCAGCCCTTATTGTGAGACTGGCTCCCTAAGTGACTAAGTCGGCCTGGCTGGGCTGTAACTTTCCATCCTCCTGCCTCAGCCTCCCACATCCCACCTGAGATGACAGGTGAGTTAACACACTTGCTCCCGAGATGTCCTCCGCACCCCACAAAAATTCAGCACACACAATTTCACACCCTTCTGGGTGACCATAGTAGTGAAAAATCACTGGTCTACACCATGATTTTTCCTGTTTTTTTTTTTTTGTTGTTGTTGTTGTTGTTTTTTGTCTTTTTCCTTTTCATGGGTACCAGGGATCGCTTGCAAAGCAGGTGCTTATGCCGCTGAGCTAAATCCCCAGCCCCTTACACCATGATTTTTCACAGCAGCATTAATAACGCTCTCTGGATGGGGGTTGGGCGTCTTGGGCACTGTAGGGTGCTGAGCAGAGTCCCTGGTCACCACCCATTCAGTACAAAGAGTAGGCCTGCCCATTTGTGACAAATCCAAATGTCCCCCCAGACAACACCCAGTCTCCTCTGGGGGCAGAATCATCCCTGGTTTCGACTCGCCAGGTCAAGGGACATGCTGCATCTAATGGTCACCTGTCCCGCTGAGGTCCTGAGAAGCTGGCCACAGTGACATCCACACACTGAGTGAGAAGGGACCAAAGGATCAGGTTCAGAAGCACCTCTGGCCACATGTCTGCCCCATGGGAGTGTGACCTGTTGTCAAGGGGAGCAGTGAGCTGGATTTGCGATGTCCTCCAATAATAAATTCAAGACTCCCCTGGGGGTGGGGCATGCTGGACAGGGGTGTGGAACCCTGTCCCTGGCTTCACCTTGCACCACCCACAATGGGGTGGGGGGGCGACGGACACCACAGGTGTCCCCAGGGATCACTTGGCGTTCCCTGGGGGAAAACTGCCCTTGATTGAGAATCACAGCTCGAGGGAGAAGGCAGACAAAAACAATCCAACATAGGGACAAAGTCAGGAAAACTACTCAGCCGGCAGGACTCAGACCATCTTCTGACGCCACCCACCTCAGGAAAGAAAGTGTCAGGGACATTAACTTCGCAGGGACCCCGCAAGGCACAGACTTTACAGTAGCTCCTTTCTAGAGAGCAGAAAAGGAGGCCTGGGGGAACAGACGTGACTCGCGCGACTTCACACAGCTGTCCCGCGGATCCCAGCTGGCCCTCGCCCGCTTTCCCCCACCTCTAGCACCGCACGCACGAGTCCCTAACACGGGGCTAAGCCCGCCAGCTGCTAAGCCTCTGGGGTTCCCACCTGGTGCTCGGCGCTGCGGCTCTCGGGGGCCCAGGAAAGGACTGACTTCAGCCGTTTTACAGAAGAGAAAAACTGAGGCTCTGAGCAGACAAGAGGCTGGTCAAGGTCACCAGGGGAGGCGGCCCTGGGACAAGAACCGGGACAAACCCGCTGCCCGGGTCGAAGGGACCGTGTTTCCACCCAGCTCGGAAAAACGACGGCAGCTACGCGCCGGGTGCTTTTACCACCTGTGGTCCTTGCCACCCACACGCGAACCACCACATCTAGAGCTCGACCCCGGGGAGGAAGAGCGGGACTCGCGCTGGACGGCCCGACGCTGCCCTGCCTCGGTTTCCCCTTCGTACCGCCCACCCACAGGACCGCACGGGGCACAGAGACTCCAACCCCGGACCTACCTTCCCTTACGGATTCCTAGGAACGGTAAGCTCTGATCCTTTGAGGCCAGTACCCCTTCAGCTAGCCGCGGAGCCCCCAACTCACCTCTCAGGAAACAGAGCCCCGACCCACCGACGGCTGCAGCTGCGCCTGCGCACCGTGGCGCAGCCCGGCTCCGCCTACCCGGTCGCGACGCTTGCGCAGAAGGAGCCCGCTCTGGTTTGTTTTTATTCTGCGCAGGCGCGTCCATGACCGACCTTTACGTAAGCGGAAGTGACGTAATTTAGAGGCGGGGACAAACTGGTCGTTAGGGCAACTGACCTCTGCGACCTATTGGAGACCGGAAATTAGGGCTGGTTTGTAGTCTAGGAGAACGGAGCGGTGCATGGTGGGACTGTGTCGTCCTCCGGCCTGTTGGCACTGGCGACCACGTGGTATGCAGATGAACAAGCAGTTTACTTGAGTGTGGGTACCTGGGTTGTGACGGGAGTCACTGTTACCCACTCACTATCTTTGTTCATTTATTCACCCACCTGTCCATCCACTCGCTCGCAAATGCATTACTTCATTCACTTTGTAAAATGTAAAACATGTTTATATATGGCAGGTAGCTAGTGTTAAACAAACATTATTGCACAAAGAGTAGCAAAGTACTCTCAGTACTCTGTATTGGGGTAGAGGATTATCACCCAATAAACCAGCGCATAAAATAAAAAGAAAATTTACTTCCTGGCAAACGATTTTTATTTGGTATCAGGGATCAAACTCACGACCGAGCGCTTGCCAGGCAGGCGCTTAAGCCACTGAGCTAAATCCCCAGCCCTTGAATGGTTTTTATATGGAAAAAAATAACTCCCAATTTGCTAGATGTCACATGTGCTCAGCTCATGTCGCCGAAATATCTAAAGAATAAATTCCCAAGGACAAAGGAGGTTAACAGTAGGAGAGGTTGATTAAAAGCTCCCGAGAGACAGGAGGGGTCCCAAATGAGTAGCCGCCAAGGCCCTTTGTCAGGTGTAATTTATGCAGCAAAGTCACAATGTAGGTTAGACTATGCTCAACCTAGAGCACTACAAGCTTAGCTGATATTGATCCAATATGGAAACTAGTAGGGTAGCAAGAGTACACAGAAATGTCAAAAGAACTCTTGGGGGCCGGGGGTTTAGCTCAGTGGCACAAGCGCCTACCTGGCAAGCTCGAGGTCATGAGTTCAATCCCCGGTACCAAAAAAAAAAAAAAAAAAAATTTCTTGGAAAGAGAAACACAGGTTTAGACATGCGGTCACCCACCTGTGAGTCTGATACCTATCCTGTCTGATACCTATCACTGTAATCAGCAGTACCTGATTACAGTGTAATCTCCAATTGTCCTTTATCCCTATGGAGGTTTGCAGGCCTACCTATTGTATCTCTATCCTGAGGTCTGGCCCTTTTCAGATTGGCTTCCAGCCACAATTCTGATGTCTCTATTTTTGTCTACTTGTCCAGGCTGGCCTCAACCTGTGATCTCCTGCCTCAGGTTCCCGAGTAGTTGAGATCATAGGTGTGCACCATCGGCCCCCAGTTTCCCAATTAATTCTTAGCCTTGTTAAAACACATACACAATTAATGCTCTTATTTTAATTGGTCAGAAATAAGGAGGTGGGGTGCTCTTTTGGGCCAGTTTAATTCTGGTTTTGTTTTTTTCCTGTTTGCAGTAGCTTTTTGTTTTGTTTTGTTTTTTGCCAACAACACTGGATATAGGTCAGGTAATGTACTATTCCATAATAGCTGTAATTTAAAGTCATGGATGCATTTATTGGATATAGTGTATTTGTCATTTAGAGGTTTTTTTTTCGTACTTGGAATCGAACTCAGGACCTTGTGCTTATCACAAGGCTTTTGCCTCACTTAGGTTTTTGTTTGGGGCTTGAGAGAGTGTCTCACCATGTAGTTTAACAAGACTTTTTGTTTGGTACTGGGGACCGAACTCACGACCTCATACTTGCTAGGCAAGTGTTCGTGTCACTGAACTAAATCCCCAGCCCCTTCATTTAGGTTTTTGTATCTTTTGTTTGTTTCTTCCCTTCCCACAACCTTGTGCTTGCCAGGCAGGCCCTTGTCCCGCCGAGTTATATCCCCGGCGTGGTTTTTGTATATTCTAAAACTATTTTATTTGATGAACTATTTTATTTCAGTTGACATTTGAGATATACCTATTCTCTTCCTTAGAGGCTGGAGCCTGAACAAGATTCTGGAAATAATTTACAAAAATCTCCTAGATACAATAAGCGATCAATAACTTGAGACTCTTGGGGCTGGGGATTTAGCTCAGCGGTATAAGCTCCTGCCTGCCAAGTGCAAGGTCGTGAGTTCGATCCCTGATACCAAATAAATAAATAACTTGAGACTCTTAAGTGAGGGCAAAAACTTGCACAACTAGCCCAATGCACAATTATATAAAAAGAGGAGCCGGAGCTGGGGACAGCGGAGCACGCCTGAAATCCTGCCACTCAGGAAGCTGAAGGAGGAGGATCGCCCGGGTTGGAGCCCAGGTTGGGCTCCAGAGCGAGACCCCGTCTCCAAAAAAAAAAAAAAAGAAGGAAGTAAAGAAGTAAGCGCAAGGGGAACAGCACGCCCTGAAGCCAAGGACAAGTCACTAGTAGCAAAGTGGAAGTGGCTCGGAGGCTTATTTTGGTGTGTGCAGCTACTAACTAAAAGAAGCGTTTATTCCAAATCCTCCTGCAGATTTTGAGGGTGGAGCCCATAGCTCCACCCAAACACCTGTGAGAGCCAATAACAGCCCGGGGGAGGTGTCGCGCGTGCGCAGAGTGCGCCAGCGATGGGCCCGCCTCCTCGACGGAGTGGGCTGGGCCCCGGCGCGCATGCGTGCAGAGGTCCTTGCCCACATTTTCTCCCAGGATGCTCCGGGTGCGCGGGCGGCGGGCGCCCAAGTCCGCGAAGGTATCGGCGCTGGAGCTGAGCGTAGCGAGGCGTTCGCCGCGGTTGAGGCAGCTGGACGTGGAGCAGGTGCAGCGAGGATTCCGCTGGTTCATACCCGTCCGCCATGAAGCCCCCAGCAGGTACCGGCCGCCCCTCGCTTATGTCCGGCTCCCCGGACCCCGCCGTTCCCGGCACCCGCGCGCCTCCCGGGAGAGTGACTGGGGCCTAAGATCCGAGCCGAGTGACCCTGGGCGGGCGTTGCGGGGAAGGAGGACGGGGGGCGAGCCTTCCCCTTCGCCCGCCGAATGAATAAACCAACTTTTCCAGAGGCTCTCCGTTGAGCAGACTTCATGGATTTCTCCCCCGGACAGGTCGGGGGGTCCTGGGGTGCACTCGGGTGGACTTTGAGGGAGGCAGTGATTTAAGGACCTGGTTCCCTCCTTTCTGGAGCTCTGGAACTGGAGGCAGAGGTTTAGTAAATAACTACAGCCGGGTGTGATGGTGCGCACCTGTAAGCCTAGCCCTCCGGGAGGCTGAGCCAGGAGGATTGTCAAGGTTGAGTCCGGTATCGGGCGACTTGACAAGACACTGACTCAAGTTTTTAAAGGGTGGGGGGCTGAGGCCGTAGCTCAGTGAGAAGGCCCTGGGTTCAGTCTCCAGTTCCAGAGGTGCAAGAAAAATAAATGAAAAAGTGAGGGATTTAGATAGGGATTGATGGCTTGGAGCAAATAAACATGGATGGGATAGCCTCAGGGACATTATATTAGAGAGCTGGACCCGGTGGACTTCTCGGAGGAGGTGGCAGTAGAGCCTAGATGGAGATGTCGAGGTTTTTGTTTTTTTTGTTTTTTGTTTTTTTTTTGGTACCGGGATCGAACTCACAGCCTAGTGCTTGCCAGGCAGGCGCTTATGCCGCTGAGCTAAATTCCTGGCCCTGAAATGTCGAGATCTTCAGGTGCAGGGCAGGTGGAGAGAACTCTCAGGTGTTGCATCGTCCTCATGACGGTAAAGATCAGCTGAGAGATTTTGGGGGCGAGTGAAGGGGCGGTATTGGGAGGGAATCGCTGTGCCCTGGGTCTGTATTCAGAAGTTCAGGTTGATGTGTTGCACGGATTCTTGGGTTTTCTCGAACCCGCCCCTGTCACCCTCTAGTTCTCTCTTCAGCCCTTTGAAAAGAGGAGGATAATTGTGGTAATGCTAATAATAATAATTAGGGTTACTCAGTCTTCAGGGAGGTGGAAATGTTGTCCGCCTTGTTTGCTGCCAGAGTATGAGCTCAGAAACCAGCACTGACGTGTGCAGTCAGTAAATAATTTACAGGAAGAGTGGGTGTCCAAAAAGCCCAGCTCCGCCCAGAGGATTTTCTGGCCGGTGTGTCTCATGGAGCCTCATCTTTGCCACGCTCTGAAGTGCTTCTTGATCCCCGGCTTCCATACCGACACCCGGTTCCCCTGTGAATCCTTTGACCCAGCGTGCTTTGCACATGGGATACTGCCTGAAGTGCTCACCAGTGTCATCTTGCCAGAAAGTGTGACTTCTGTCAGGCTTCTATTTTTCTGCTTCGTGTATCCATGGCTCTCACCTGATGCGATCATGCTGCCTCAGTCGTGGCACTGTGCAGGGACATCGTGGTTGTCAAGACTCAGGGACCTCCAGGCATGGAGCGGGTGCAGAGCAGGGTCTCTGCTTAGTGTCCTGCAGTGCCCAGGATGCCAGACCCCAGGGAAGGATGTGACCCCCCCACCCCATTCAGAGGAACCCAGGAACCCAACCCCTTACTCTGCTGCAGGAGTAATGGGATTCTAGGGTGCTGCCACAGGCCCCCTAGATGTTACATAGTAAGTGGCCTGTGTACTGTAGCACCCTTCTAAAATGCAGGGAACCTCGATTTTCAAGTCATACCTGGCCCAGTCTGGCTGAGCGGTCACAGAGGGTCCTGGCAGCTTTGCCTTGGGACCTTCTCACCTTCCACCACGGTGCCCTCAGACAGCTGTACCCTCTCACTGTACATACATTGCCCCCACTTTCCAGGTGGGGCCCGCCAGGTGATGGAGCAGGGCTCTCACTAGCTTCTGCCAGCTCCCCCTCCCCCTCCTGACCCCTCAATGGTGAGGCCACGCCCTTCCTGATTCACTTGTTAATGAATAGGGGCCCCTGGTCCCCCAGTTAGGTGTTACCAAGGCTTCTCCTGAAACCTAGGGAGTTGCACCATGCAGCAGGAGGGCCTCCCCATTTGTGAATACTGGGGTCTTTTTTTGTCTTTTTCGTTTTTATCGGTACCAGGGATCGAACTCACGACTGCCTGCTTGCAAGTCAGGCGCTTATGCCGCTGAGCTAAATCCCCAGCTCCCGAATACTGGGGTCTTCACAGGGTGCCCTGAGCAGGCCCCAGGCTGGGGGTTCCTAGGGCCCGTCACTCTCTGTGAAGCAGTCCTAGGTACCGCGGGTGGAGAGCAGCATCCCCCGCCTCTACGCTGTGCCACTGTGCCCCTTCAGCGGTCATCATAGCCACCAGCAGTCCCCGCACACCACCTGGGGTTCCTGGGAGCGCTGGAGGACAGAATCGTGCCCTCTCTGGAGGGTCCCTGGCCCGATACCCCCACACCCCCCATCGCTCCTGCACGGACTGGATGTGATGCCATCAGCTGTGGCCTTTGGCTTCTGTGTGCAGCCTGTGCAGGCGACATGCTGGACACTGTGTCCCCACCGCGCTCCCCCGTCGTGAACCACCTGCGGTGGGACCTGAGCGCATCACAGATCGAGACGCGCACCAAGGAGCTGATCGAGCAGACGAAGCGTGTGTATGACCAGGTGGGCGTACAGGCGTTCGAGGAGGTATCCTTCGAGAGCACGCTCAAGGCACTGGCGGACGTGGAGGTGACCTACACGGGTGAGTGCCAGCAGTGGGGGCGGTCGCTTCTGTCACCCCGCCACCCTGAGGGCTCCCCACATGGTCCTTGGAGAGGGCGCCCTCCGTCCTCTTCCCCCGCCCTGTGTTCTACTGAACCACTGAGCGTGGCCCTGGTCATCTTTGTTTTCGGTTTGGATTTCTCTGGGATGAGCTCTCAATCAGTTACCCAGGCTGGGCTCCAGCTCCTGGGCTCCTGGTGTCCTCCTGCCTCAGCCTCCCGAGTAGCCGGGAGTTTGGGTGTGTACCCCTGACCCTGGCTTTTCAGTTGTAACAGAATGCTCAAGACTGGGTCATTTTGTTGAGAAAAGAGATCCGGTTTGCCTCACAGCCCTCCAGGTAGGGGAAACTAAGGGCTGTGTGTGGTGGGGGGGGCACAGGCAGGGACAGTCACAAGAGGTGGCCTTGTTTCCTAACGGGTGCTCCTAAGGAGGAGGCGGAGAGAGCCCAAAGGCCCTTTCACTACCCGGTCACCTCCCAGAGCCCCCTTGTGCCCCTGTGCCTGCAGGCCGAACAGCGTTCAAGCCCAGTGACCTCCTTCTGTCCTTCCGGCTGCTGCCCGGCCCGCACAGCCCTCACATCCCCTCCTGTCCCTGGGCAGCCCCATGGCCCCCGGGAAAGCTGAGCCTTCTGGGACCCTCTACCGCCCTTGTAAGGACCAGGGAGCCTGGTCCCAGGGCTGAGGGCTCCATGCCCCAAGTCCCCCAAGGAGCTGGCAGCAGCTGCATGCACATCTGTGTGGAAGTGGGGGGCCGGGGGGCAGCTCGCCCCACTCTCAGGGTGCCAGCATATGCCTGGTTTCTGGGAAACACAGGGCTTCCCGACTCTAAGGTTCATGGGAGCCCCAGGCGGGGATGAGCGAAGCCCCGGACTGCTTGTGGTGTCTTTGGGGCGGGGGGCCCACTGGCTGGCCGGCTGTCCCTGCCATCTTGTCACATTGAGTGCATTTACAGTCACTCATATAGCTGGTGGCCTTTCGAGGAGTCTCTTGAGCACACAGCTCATTTCCGGTTCTTACCAGCTAGACCCCGCACCCCAAACTGGTTAGTGAGCGACACCGTGTCCTCAACCCCGGGCTGCCAGGGACACTGCCTTGGCCCAGGGACCCCGGCGGCCAAACCAGGAACCTGGCTGATTTGAATTGCAGCCTCTCCAGCGCACAAAGTGTACACTTTTTTTTTTTTTTTTTTTTTTTTTTTAAAAGATCTTGCCAAGCTGCCGGTGACCCTCCTAAGTCTCTGGGAACACTGGTCCACGTTATTGTGGCCTTTTCCTTTTAACTGTGCCATTAAAATATAATTTGCCTATGATATAGTTCACTCATTTAAGACCTGCATTTACGTGACTTTTAGCATACTCACGAAGTTGAATGCCTATGTATGATGTATATATATAATGTACGCATAGGTATGTAAAACATACATATGATACCTATATTTGGTTCCTTTTGTTAGTTTTTGGAGACAGGCTGGTGTCAGACTTGCCGTGATCTTCCTGCCTCAGCCTCTCGAGTGCTGGGGTCCCGGGTGCGCGCCCCCAAGCCCGGCCGTGCCTTCCGTCTCTCCCGGTCCCGTCCCAGCCCCGGCGCCCCGAGTCCACCTCCTGCCCCAGAGTCCCCTGTCCTGGCGTTTCCCGTCCACAAGGCTCATTTCCTGTCCTCCTGGGTCTGGCGTCCCTCACTGAGCATGGTGTCCTCGATGTCTGTCCAGGCGGACGCGAGGTCACAGCTGCGCACCTGTCCTGGCTGGTGACCCTGTGTGGGGGGCAGACCTGCTGTGTGCGTCCCTCTGTCCCTCCGTGGACACTGGCTGTGGCCCACGAAGGTCTCAGCACAGTGCTCTCGTGTCCCTTCTGACTGGCCTGCGATCAGGACCAGGACTGAGGGACACGACCGGAAGTCACAGTGTGGCTGGTGTCTCTCCCCGCTAGCTGGCGGCCTGGTCCTCCTCAGCTTGGGTGTCAGGGCTTGAGTCCTCCTTTGGGCAGTGAGATCCGAGGCCACTCCGTGTCCTCTGTCCCGTTTCAGTACAGAGGAACATCCTGGACTTCCCCCAGCACGTGTCCCCGTCTAAGGAGATCCGGGTGGCCAGCACGGAGGCCGACAAGAAGCTCTCGGAGTTCGACGTCGAGATGAGCATGCGGCAGGATGTGTACCAGCGGGTCGTCTGGCTGCAGGTGTGTGGCCGGTTGGGGTGTCTGGGGTTGCGGGCGGCCGCAGGGGGAAGCCTTTGTGTGGCCAGAGAGCACCTTGGTTTTCAAAAGCAGGACCGCCAGGTGTGGTAACCCGTGCCTATAACCCTGGCTACTTGGGAGACTGAGGCAGGAGGGTCTCTGGTTCAAGGCCAGCCTGGCCACTTCCCAGGATCAAACTAAGGGGGTGAGGTGTAGCTCGGGTCTAGTGTCTTGGGTTCAGGCCCACTGTTCCCCCCTTCCCGATCCTGAATGTAAATTTTACATTTTTGTCTGTTTTGTGACAGCCCTAAAAACCTAAAACCAACAGAAAACAAAGCATTCAGCAGGAGGGGTCCTGTAGCCCTTCACACAGGCTCTGCTGCATGGCCCGGCCACCACAGCTGTGTCACTGCAGGGGCCCAGGGTGGGTTTCTTTCTTTCTTTCTGTCTGTCTGTCTGTCTCTCTCTCTCTTTTCTCTTCTTTTCTTATCTTTTCTTTTCTTTTCGTTTCGTTTCTTTTCAAGTTCAGGCTGGGGTGGAGCTCACTTTGTAGCCCAGGCTGGTCTCAAATTCGCAGTGATCCTCCTGCCTCAGCCTCCCGAGTGCTGGGTTGACAGGTGTGCGCTACCACGCCCTGCCCTGGGGGGATTTCTACCCTGGCCTGAGGCCTCTCCTAAATCAAGATGACTGTTAAGTGCTGTGCAGCAGAAGCTGGCACTGTGTGAGCAGGGTTGGTTTTTTTAAAACTGCATTTTAATTGAGACAGTATGTTCACACTCCGCTGTGAGAGTTGACACAGAAGCCAGCCAGGGTGGTACATCCTTGTAATCCCGGCCTGGACAGGGTAACAAGACCCTCTCAAAATGGAAACAGGGCTGGGGATGTGGTTCAGTGCGAAGGCCCTGGTTCCATGCCCAGTACCATCATCAAAAGAAAGAAAAGAGATGAGGAGCAGGACACAGGGCGCCCCGCACGCTTTGCTGGGCCCCCCGCCAGTGGCACTGCACGTGGCTGTCACAGGGTCCCCTGGCTGGGCTGTCTGCCTCCATCCCACAGGGTGCTGTGTGCCTGCTGGGCTGTTCAGGCTGACCCAGGGTGTCGGGCACATGGGTGCCAGGTGACCAGGCTCTCGGGAAGCCGCCTGGCTGCCCCGTGACATCCGATTTACCACCGCAGGAGAAGCTGCAGAAGGACTCCCTGAGGCCCGAGGCCGCGCGGTACCTGGAGCGGCTCCTCAAGCTGGGCCGCAGGAACGGGCTTCACCTGCCCAAGGAGACCCAGGACGTGAGTGCAGGGTCCCAGAGGGTGCTGTGCAGGGCAGCCCTGGGGTCCGTGGGTCAGGAGGGGCGGTGGGGGCAAGAGCGCTCACCATGGTATCCTTGAGGAGTTGTGGGACAGCCAGCCCCACTCGAGTGGTCAGGGCAGGCGATGGTGCCCCAAGTTGGCCTGGACGAGGCATCAGAGCACAGGACATCGAGGATGTGGCTGGGAAGCAGCAGTCTGCACGGACGGAGCCATGTGGCCTCGGCCACCCCAGGCACCATGGCGGCTGTGTCAGGAGGACCTGGAGACGGGTGGTTTGTTCTGCAGCCACTGCGGGATAGCAGGTGCCGTGGTGCACTTTGGAGTCCTCGCTCTTGGGAGGCTGAGGCAGGAGGATCCTAAGTCCAATCCCAGCCTGGGTAACTTACCCTGTTGCAAAAGATTTGAGCGGCGACATCAAACCTTTGAGAAGCTCTCAGTGACACAGTCCGCTGCGGCACACACAGCGTGGGTTCCCCACCGCCACCCGGGGCTCTAGCTTCAAGGTCGGCACTCAGGAAAAGAGTGCTGTTAGAAACCAGACTGGGTCTCAGGTCTGAGGTCTCGAAGATGGGGCCTGGGTGACCTCGGAGAGACCTTGGGCTCCTGAGCAGGAGTCCCGCGGAGGAGCCTGCCCCACCAGGCAGAGTGGGCAGGGAGTCCAGACCGCTGCAGGCGTGGGTGGCCTGTGCCAGGTCCCCAGGGCACCTGGTGTGTGGGTGGCCTGGGGAAGGGCGGACCCCAGGGGAATGTGGGGCCCCAGGCCCGCTGAGGACAGGACGACCTGTGTTGTGTCCTGGGGCTCGCACACAGCAGCTGGGCCAACCCCGTACCCTGAGGCCCCACTGCTGGGAGTGGGAGGGAGTACTGGGCACCAGGCACCTAACGTCTGTCTCCCCCACAGAAAATCAAGAGCATGAAGAAGAAGCTGAGCCTGCTATGCATCGACTTCAACAAGAACCTGAACGAGGACACCACCTTCCTGCCCTTCACACGCGAGGAGCTGGGTGCGCTCACGCCCCGGGTGTGCCCTCCCCGGTGTGCCCAGCTTTCCCTCTTCTGTGCTGTCGGGGGGCACTTCCAGCCCCCTCCAGTGCCACCTCCCGCCCTGCAGGGGGGCTCCCCGAGGACTTCCTGAACGCCCTGGAGAAGACGGAGGGCGACAAGCTGAAGGTCACGCTCAAGTACCCGCACTACTTCCCGCTGCTGAAGAAGTGCCACGTGCCGGAGACCAGGCGGAAGGTGGAGGCGGCCTTCAACTCGCGGTGCAAAGAGGTGAGGCGGCGGGCACGGGCCTGGGCCGGGGTGGGGGGGCTGGGCAGCATGGGGACCAGGGTGGGGGCTCGGCGCCCTCTCACAGCAGCCATGGCGCCCGCAGGAGAACTGTGCCATCCTCAAGGAGCTGGTGGCGCTGCGGGCCCAGAAGTGCAAGCTGCTGGGCTTCAGCACGCACGCCGACTACGTCCTAGAGATGAACATGGCCAAGACCAGCAAGGCGGTGGCTGCTTTTCTGGGTACCTGGGGCAGGGCCGACGTGGTGGTGGTGGTGGTGGGGGGGGGGCTAAGGGGCGGGGCTGACGTGGTGGGCGGGGCCTAGAGTGACGGCGCCCCGCCCCCAGATGAGCTGGCGCAGAAGCTGAAGCCCCTGGGCGAGCAGGAGCGAGCAGTGATCCTGGAGCTGAAGGAGGCCGAGTGCACGCGCCGGGGGCTGCCGTTTGACGGCCGCATCCACGCGTGGGACATGCGCTACTACATGAACCAGGTGGAGGAGACGCGCTACCGCGTGGACCAGAACCTGCTCAAGGAGTACTTCCCCATGGAAGTGGTCACGCGCGGGCTGCTGGGCATCTACCAGGAGCTGCTGGGCCTCACCTTCCAGCTGGAGGAGGGGGCCGCCGTGTGGCACGAGGACGTGCTGCTCTACTCAGTGCGCGACGCGGCCTCGGGCGAGCTCCTTGGCCAGTTCTACCTGGACCTGTACCCCAGGTGGGCGCCCCGCCCCCACGCGCAGGACGGGCTGGGCGGCGGGCTGTCTCAGGAGGGGAGGATCCGCCGGTCACAGCTGCTGTCGCTCTCGTTTGGCCCCACCGGTGGCTACACAGACAGGGCCTTGCTGTCAGCTGGAGAGGGGTGGCACGGGCAGCACCGAAGCTCGTGTGCGGTGCAGCCCCTGGGCCTGGTGCTGTTGGGGGTCCTCCCGGAGCGCTTGACCCCGTGTGGCTCCTCATAGGGAGGCCCCAGGTCACCCCAGTCACGCCTGACCTGCCACCTCCCCAGGGAAGGCAAGTACGGCCATGCGGCCTGCTTTGGCCTGCAGCCTGGCTGCCTGCGACAGGATGGCAGCCGCCAGATCGCCGTGGCGGCCATGGTGGCCAACTTCACCAAGCCCACGCCGGATGCCCCGTCACTGCTGCAGCACGACGAGGTAGAGACCTACTTCCACGAGTTTGGGCACGTGATGCACCAGCTCTGCTCACAGGTGCGTGGGCTCCAGGCCGGGAACCTGGTCAGGGTGTGGGCTCCTCCATGTCACCTCCCCCTGGCAAGGGACCCAGGCAGCTTGGGCGAGACCCCAGGTGCCTTCAGCCCACCTTTCCATCCGATTTCGGACAGCTCGCCTCTGCCCGCGCGGCTCCCTGACTAAACGCTCCTGGGTTTGGGGTGCTCCTGGAGCTGGAGCTCTCCTCCTGGAGCTGGAGGCCAGGTTCTTCTCGTCTTGAAACAACCGAACCAAACAAGCCAGAAGGAGTGGGGTGGTCTGTGGCCATGTCAGGACTGGGTCCCCAGGGCACAGCTCAGCAGGGCTCTGAGTACCGCGCTGGCCCGGGAGCCCCGAGTGTAAGGAAAGTGGTCTCGGTCAGGGTCCCACCAAGTCTCCCGTCCTGGCCCGCAGGCTGAGTTCGCCATGTTTAGCGGGACCCACGTGGAGCGCGACTTCGTGGAGGCACCATCGCAAATGCTGGAGAACTGGGTGTGGGAGAAGGAGCCGCTGCTGCGCATGTCCGGGCACTACCGCTCTGGCCACGCCGTGCCCCAGGAGCTGCTGGACAAGCTCATCCAGTCGCGCCAGGCCAACACTGGTGGGGGCGGGCGGATCGGGCGGGCGGGTTGGGGGGCTCGGGACAGCAGACACGGGGTGACCTCCAACCCCTGCGCCCTCCCCCGCCAGGGCTCTTCAACCTGCGCCAGATCGTGCTGGCCAAGGTGGATCAGGCCCTGCACACGGGCACGGACATCGACCCTGCCGAGGAGTATGCGCGGCTTTGCCAGGACATCCTTGGGGTCCCCGCCACACAAGGTAGCCACAAGGTGGCCCCAGGTCTTGGGGACCCACCAGCACCGTTTCTGGCCTCCCTTCTGCTTCCCAGAGAAGGATCCGGGCACACACGGCCAGGGCCAGGGTCGGGAGGGCACAGAACCTCTCGGCCCCAAGGCTTGGCCCCTTCCCAGTAGAGGGGACACCAAACAGCCCCTGGGGCCACCTCCCCGCTGGGGATCGGAGGAGCAGGAAATGGGCGAGATGGGTGGTGCCCGCCCTCGAAGCTGTAGTGTGCCTGCCCTGTCGTGGGCGCCATGCACAGAGGTGGCTTTAATGGACGACGTTTTGCCTGTGTGAGGCTTCATTGGCATTTAGTGTTTGTGAACTGAGGGTCCGAGCCGGGGTGCCGGGCCGCTGAGCTGCCCCCTCAGTCGTCTTTATTTTATTTTGAAACGGGGCCTTGCTGGTGGCCCCTGTTGGCCCAGAATGTACAATCCCACCTCGGCCTCTGGAGTGGCCGGGAAGCGTCACAGGGCTGCGTGTGACCGGGCCCGCGTGACCCCCGCGCTCACTGGCCTGTCCGCGGCTCACCTGTGCCTCTCTGTCAGGCACCAACATGCCGGCCACCTTCGGCCACCTGGCAGGCGGCTATGACGCGCAGTACTACGGCTACCTGTGGAGCGAGGTGTTCTCCATGGACATGTTCCACACGCGCTTCAAGCAGGAGGGGGTGCTGAGCCCCAAGGTGAGGCCGGCCAGGGCCCCGTGACCCCTGGTCCATCCTGTGCCGCCCTGGGCATTCTGCCCCGCCTGGGCCGGTCGCGGGGGGCAGGCGTCCCTGGGTCCTCCCTGCCCACACGCCCCTGCCGTGTACCCGCAGGTGGGCATGGATTACAGGACCACCATCCTGAGGCCGGGCGGCTCCCAGGACGCCAGTGCCATGCTGAAGCTCTTCCTGGGCCGCGAGCCCCGGCAGGACGCCTTCCTCCTGAGCAAGGGGCTGCCCGTGGAGGCCAGTGAGCCGCCCGCCTGCTGACCCCGGAGCCTGCGGCCCGTGCCCGCCCGCTGCCCTGTGCCTTAGCCCCAGCCCGATGGCGGCCCACTGCACGGCGCTCCGGGCCCCAGACCAAGCGCCAGCAACTCCTCCTCCCTGCCCCGTCCCAGCCGCTCCAGGCCCGCGGGGGCCAGGCGGGGCACAGAGCTCGCCCCACGGGCCTCATGTTGGTTGCACTAGTGTCCCCTCGGTGTGGTACCAGGAGACACGGCCAGTAAACACTTGAAACGGTTCCACGCTGGTCTTTGGCTCTGTCTGCTCCGCACAGGGCAGCTGGGGGGTGCTGGGCCCTCCCAGGCTGTCCTGCCTGCAGTGCTGGGTGGCGACTCCCCGAGTGCTGTGGGTCCACGGGCCAGCTGGGTGCTAGGACTGGTCAGGCCAGGGCTGGGGGTGCGGGGAGGGGCGGAGTTCTATCTGGGGCCCAGAGGCCAGGATCTCCCGTGTCACTCAGGAAAATCCCTCCCCACCCGTGTCCAGCCCATGCTCAGCTCTTTCGAGGGCATCGGGGCCTTCTGGGACGTGGGAGCCCCATGGCCGCAGCCTCACCGCGGCTGGGCCCCAGGGCTGGCAGATCAGCAAAGCCTTGGCTATGGCGGACAGGCTGTGTCTTGGGTCCTTTAGCTTTTTTGAAAACACCTCCGTGGCTTGCTTTGTGTGGTAGTGGTGAGGCTCGAACCCAGGGCCTCTGGGCTGCACCGTGTCTCCAGCCTTTTGTGCTGTGACGGGGTCCTGCTCAGTGGCAGAGCTCAACCTCCCAGAATGCGGAGATGACACATCTGTGCCCCACACCCCACCCTAAGTGGCATTTTAGGGTCCATAGACAGGTGCGGGTGCCTTCCCCTGGGTGCCAGGTCACCGGGACCATTTCTCAAGAGGGATCTGCACCGGCGGGCAGATGCCTCCATGTGATGGGATTTCCCGGGCGCAGTAACCAGGCCAGGCCAGTCTGCTGCGGACTCCAACTGTGGGTCCTCCTTGCACCAGAGACACGCTGCAACGCTGGCCGGGTCCAGCAGGTGGCGGGCAGGCCTCAGGTTAATTCCTAGCCGGAGTAGTGCATTTCCAGGCTCCTGGCTTCCATCGCCCAGTTTTCTCCCCCTTTTTTCCTCCTTGAGACAGGCCCTCTCCCTGCTCAGCACCCGGCAGTGGGTGCTCTTACTGGTTTCGCAGTTCCCAGAGCCTTCACACTGAGCTGCATCCCAGCCCTTTTTAATCACTTGAGTTGGAGTCTCCTTACATGGCCCTGTTGTCCAGGCGGGTCTCGAACTGGTGATCCTTAGCCCCCTGGAGTGCTGGGGTGATAGGCTGCACCCCTACACCCTGCTAATGGTTGCTCATTTTGCCAAGATTATGGAGCAAGTTTTTCACACTCCTGGGTCTCCTCCAAACAGTCAGGGCGGACTGTTTTTCTCTGTTTTTATAACTCTTGTCGCTATCCAAATGCCACTGCCTCAGACCGTGGCTGCCTTCCTGAAAGCGCACGTGCCAGCCACATACACCACTCTCGCCTACGCCATGTTTTTATGTACTTTTTTTTGGGGGGGGGGGTCCAAAATTGAACTCCTAACCTCATGCTTTCTGGGCAAGCGCCGTGCTGAGCTGTAGTCTAATGGTTTTGCAACCTCTTATGGGTATATAATTGCCAGCTGTTAAACTTAAAAAGATAATCACAACCAGTGGTGGCACACGCCTGGAATCCCAGCATTCTGGGAGGCTGAGGCCGAAGGATGGTAAATTCGAGCCTAGGCAGAACAATTTAGAGACTTACCGAGCTATTTTCTCAAAAGAAGAAATAAGGGTGAGGATGTCATTTAAGTTCAATGACCCGTACCGGGAGAAAAAGGAAAAGCGGTTGGTCGGTCCTTAGCGCCCTTTCATGATTCATTAAATGAATGAATGATGACCCGATGGCTCACTTCCTGGTTTAAATTCCTCTTTATGTACCCCTGACCCTAAACGGCACTGGCCACGCCCTGAGGGTCTGGCCACGCCTCTGGGACGCTGCGCATACTCAGTCATAGCAAGCTCCGAGCAACACTTCGCCGGCATATACCATTTCCATTTATCGTTTCTGGTGGGGAGGCCGGTGGGAGTCTTCTTCCCGTGGAAAGGTTGAAGTTGTCCTTCCTCTTCGCTAAGGAGCGTCGCTGGACAAGTGTTTGTGTATGGGTTTCGGTTATGCCTTGGGTCATAACTAGGGCTCAGAGCTTCCCCACTTCCGCGGCGCCTTAACTGGGTTCCCCCCCACGGCGGCATTGGTGCTGTCCATTCTGGTCACGTGGGTGGCAAGATGGCGTCCTCCAAGACGCGCGGTGAGCGGCGCTGCTGGTGAAACGCAGGTGGCGGTGCCGAGAAGCCAGGTTGGGCGCCTCGGGAGCTCCGCAGGCGGAGGGCACGGTGCGGGGCGGGTTCCAGCGGGCGGGCTTAGGCAGAGCGCCGCCGGGGTATCCGGTTTCTGGGATTCGTTGGCCGGGGTTTGGAGAAATCCCGCGTCCTGAGATCCCCGCCTGCCTCCGAGCTCCAGGGATCCCTGCGGAGCGGGAGAAGAGGTTCCGTCAGGTGGCCCCCTTGTCAGCTTTGAAGAACCTTGTGAGTACTGAGGATGTTTGAGCTGCATCCCCAGCCCTTTGTATTTTTTCATTTTGAGACACGATCACGCTGAAGCACCGAGTGGCCCAGGTTGACCCCCAACTTGGGCTCCTCCCGCCTCGGCCTCGCAGAGTGCTGGGGTAACCGGCGCGCCCCCACGGCCAGCGCTCTAAGATGCCTTGAGAGAGGCCGGCGCAGATCGAAAGCCAGGCATCCCGAGACCTGCCCGCCCTTGAGTCGGATGTACACTCACCCGCTAGAACGAGGGCGTGGGCCCCAGGGCTCCCCGTGTCCCGCCGGCTCAACCACTCCTGCCCGCCGTGGACGTGCGGATCCTTCCGGCGTGTGAAGTGTGTCTCTCCTTTGAGGCCACCTTGTTAAACCCAGAGAGCCCTCACCTGCCGCTGGGACTGCAGCCCGCTGTGGCTCGCCACCTGCCAGGCTCCCGCTGGTCTGGAGGCCAGGGAGGGGTCCTTTCTCGAAGTGGAATTGTCAGTTCATCTCGCGTCACCCAGGCAGCTAAACACTTGGTTTGTTTTGTTTTTGTCTTTTTGAGACAGGGTCTCCCTATGCAGTTCAGTCTGGCCTTGAGCTCACTTTGTAACCCAGGCTGGTCTTGAATTCGCAAGGATCTGCCAGCCTCAGCCTCCCGAGTGCTGGGATGACAGGAGTTCGGCACCATGCCCCGCTTTAAGCACTTGTGTTTTCAAGTTGTACTCTGGGTCCCTGACTCCCTGCGCACTTCCTATGGTGCCTGCCTCAGTCTCCTCGCCTATAAAACAGGGACAGCCCAATTCCTATCAGTGAGCAGGAGTAGGAGTTAGATGAGGGTTTATCCGAATGCTCAGGACACAGCAAATGACACTAAAACTCAGCTGCTGCTGCTGAGGATTTTTGTTGTTGTTGAGGACCACTGTGTGTGCATGTTTGTTTGAGTGCTAGGACACAGTGCTGACCCGGAATCCTCTCCGTGCCTGCCTTCAGAGTTCTATTCCTGTGAGTGAACCTTAAGTCACAGGGCCCCAGTGCACACCCGTCATCCCAGCTATCCGGGAGGAGGGTTGCAAATTCAAGCCCAACCTGGGCACCTTCTGGACTATGCAAGACTAGCACAGCACTTAGCACTTTAAAAAAATGAGCTGGGGATATAGCTCAGTGTGAACACCTAGTGTCACACACAAAAATAAAGCTTAAAAAAAAAACTCATAAGTAAGACAATAAATGTCCAGGGTGCTGTTTGGGGGTGGTTCATGCTCTGAAGAAAGTCTGTGGTGGAGACGGCTTCCCAGAGGGGGTGGCACTGACAGCCAGGGAAGTGAGAGCAGTGGCTGTGGGACTTCGAGTTTGCTTTTGTTCTTTGGACAACCAGCCTTCCTATGGCCTTCAGGCTGGCACTGAACTCACCATGTAGTCCAGGCTGAACTGCTAGCTGTCACCCTGCCTCAGCCTTGTGAGTGCTGCGGTGACAGATGTGCACCACCCTGCCTCACTCAGAGGTGCTTGTGGGAGGGCTGTTCCTCATGCGGTAAACACCCCGTGCAAAGGGCCTGGGGTCAGACAGGCAAACACTGGAGGGTGGAGCAGAGGGAACATCAGTACCTGGAGGCTGGATGGCTGAGGACATCTTGGCATCAGCCACCATGATGGCAGGGGCTGCAGCGTGGAGAACAGAGGGCAGGTCATGGCTCACAGGAGGCAGGGATTCAGACTGCGGCCCAGAGAGTGCAGGCCGCTCGTTGAAAGCAGCACGGCAGGTGGGCACGGCAGAGCTGGGCTGTCCACCCAGGTGGCCTCCTGGGGTGAAGGAGCCTCCAGCCCAGCCTGTTTGCGTTTTTAATGCTGTGGTCCTGGTATTGAACCCGCGGGCTCCTTCCCGCTGCGCTGTAGTCCCAGCCCCGCCTGTCAGTCTAGAGCCCTGCGTTCTTGTGCCGCAGGCTCCGGGTTTAGCTGCGGAGGAACAAGCCTCCGGGCAGGAGGGCACCATGGTGACCGAGCAGGAGGTGGAGGCCATCGGGAAGACCCTGGTGGACCCCACGCAGCCCCTGCAGGCCCGCTTCCGGGCCCTCTTCACGCTGCGTGGGCTTGGCGGCCCTGACGCCATCGCCTGGATCAGCCGGGGTTTTGGGGACGACTCGGCCCTGCTGAAGCACGAGCTGGCCTACTGCCTGGGCCAGATGCAGGACCCCCGCGCCATCCCCGTGTTGGCAGACGTGCTGCGGGATGCGAGCCAGGAGGCCATGGTGCGCCACGAGGCGGGTGAGTGGCCGGCCCTCCCCACCCCTCCACCCTGGCCAGCCCGGCTCTCCTCTCTTGTCTCAAACACCCCGGCCCCGAGGCCTTGGCACATACCACTCCCCCGTCTTGCTTAAGGCCGCCTTCGTCGGCTCACTTGCCTCCTTCATACCGCAGCATAGAGTGTACCCCTGCAGAGAGGGCTCGGTGTGGGGCTGAAGCTCCTCATCTCCTGGGCACTGGGTGTAATGACAAGGAGGTGTCCAGGGGGCGCTGTCTGGGGTGAGGAAGTTTTGCTTTGGGTGCAGCCAATACCAGTTTCTGCACAGAGATTCTGATTGGCTAACTTTGGTGTCTGTATGTGCTGCTGTCCAATCAGCCGTGGCTGAAGCGGAGCAATGGCTAATAGATGGCTCCAGGCAGTAGTGGGCTCTCCCCACTCATCCAGCCTAAGCTCTCGTTTGTCCTCAGGGGAGGCCCTGGGCGCCATCGGGAACCCGGAGGTGCTGGAGCTCCTGAAGCAGTACTCCGCCGACCCTGTAGTTGAAGTAAGGAGGTCCTTAGTATCTATCTCTGTGTCCTTCTGTGTCCGGAGTCCCTCACTGGACAGGGCTGTGCACAGTGGCGAGTGTCAGAGACGCAGTCCTTTATCCTGGCCAAGTAATATTCCAGCCACAGGTGGAATGTTCTGTGCCTCCATTCATCCACCTATGGTCAGTTTCCCAGTCCGCACTTTGGGCCATCACAAATGGTGCCACCGCAGGGGATCCAGGTGACGCTGCGGCCTGTGGATCTCTGCCCTACTCAAAACACTGGGTGGCTTTTTATCCCCTCGGGACTGGATCCCAGATCCCTGCACAGCCTGACTCCCCCACCCCCGCAGGTGGCTGAGACCTGCCAGCTGGCCGTGCGGCGCCTGGAGTGGCTCCAGCAGCACCCTGAGGAGCTGGCGGCGGCCACGGGACCCTACCTCTCGGTGGACCCGGCACCCCCAGCCGAGGAGCGCGACGTGGGGCGGCTGCGGGAGGCGCTGTTGGATGAAGCCCGGCCTCTCTTCGAGCGGTACCGCGCCATGTTCGCACTGCGCAACGCGGGCGGGGAGGAGGCCGCCCTGGCGCTGGCCGAGGGTGAGCAGGGGCCCTGGGGTGGGGCTGCGGGGTGGGGTGGGGGGGCCCTCGAGGACCCCGCCCTCGCGCCACGCTCTCCCCGCCCCCCTGCAGGCCTGCGCTGCGGCAGCGCGCTCTTCCGCCACGAGGTGGGCTACGTGCTGGGCCAGCTGCAGCACGAGGCCGCGGTGGCCCCGCTGGCCGCCACCCTGGCCCGCCGCGCGGAGAGCCCCATGGTGCGGCACGAGTGCGCCGAGGCCCTGGGCGCCATCGCCCGGCCCGCCGGCCTGGCTGCGCTGCGGGCGCACGCGGCCGACCCGGAGCGCGTGGTGCGCGAGAGCTGCGAGGTGGCGCTGGACATGTACGAGCACGAGCGCGGGCCGGCCTTCCAGTACGCCGACGGGCTGGAGCGGCTGCGCCCCGCGCCCTAGGCCTGGGGCGCCCCGGCGGGGGCTTAGCCCTGCAGGCCGGCCTCCTGCACCCTACCCCTGCCCCCCACCCATCTGGGGGCCGGAAGCGCCCCAGGCCCGCAGGGAAGGGGAGGGGTCTGGATATGCCCTGCCCGGGATGGCTATGCTGGGGGTGAGGATGTTGGGGGACCCCAGGGACAGAACTAGGGCTCTTGGAAAGTGTCAGGGTGACAGTGACTCAGGCTTCACCAGGAACAGGAAACGGGGTTCGGAGGTGCCTCACCCTTTGGGGCCCAAGCCAGGACCGGGAGGTGGCCTCTGGCCGGGCCGGGCCGGGGTGCCAGGATGGGATATTAAACTGTTTTTGCTGATCGTTGACTCTTCAGTGTGCCGGGTTGTGTTGCCCAGCAGGACCGTGGACACACCCATCTAGCAGGGCATTTGGAGCCAAACATGGTCCCTGGGGCTCTTCCCAGCAGCTCAGAGCACGACTACCCAGATAGCCCCCTTAAGGGAGCTCTGGAGAAGCTGCCCTCCCGCCCAGGTCTCTCCAGACCCTCATTGTCCCCCAGGTCCTATTGGCATGGAGGAAGGGGTTTGTGGTACACCTAAGAGCCCTTGTCATCTGGGTTCCCACATTACTCCATGCACCGCTGGGGACAGCCAGTTCATAGCTGGCAGGCATCGACAATGCCCAGACCCCTAAATAGCATCAAGTGGTCCCAGGCCTGAGGGGATGCTGCGGGGTTACAGACCACCCGCCCAGCGAGCCCTAGGTTGTGCCTATCACGGTCCTTCGCTGCTGGCTGGTTTCTCTAAGTCTCCCCGTTAGACCCCCACCTTGTCCATCTCACCCCTGTTGGCCAATGAGTGGCGTGGGCGTGGCCAGCAGCTCAGTCTCTCCAGTTAAAACAGGACCAGGCCACAGCCTGGCCTCTCCGTGGCTGCCACCAGAGGGCGCCTGTCAGCGAGCACCTCAGGGCTTCTGCACCACTGCGAGGCCCTGGCTCTCTGTTTGGAATTCTAGCTCCTCACGGCTATCCATTCATTGCTTTATAACCGACATGGTTTATTCTAGGGTTCCGTCTTTCCTTGTCATCTGTCTTCCTGCCGCACTGCCAACTCCATATGGGTTAGGGGTTCCGGTCAGCTGTGGTCACAGCTAATGGAGGTGCAGACACAGTAAGCTCAGGGGTGGATGGAAGGAAGCAGCGATGAGGAAATCCAGTGGTTTCAGCAGCAGGCACCGCAGGGGCAAAGGCCCTGAGGTCAGATGTATCTGCAGTCACAGCTGGTACCAAGCGAGGGAGCCCGAGGGAGCAGGCGGAGGGCGGAAGTGATTTGCGCTGGTTAATCTAGGCAGATGGTGCCACAGCGGGGGGTGGGGGGGAATCCTCTTAGCCCAAAGCACCGAGTACTTCCGCTGTGTGGGTCACCTCCGAGCCTCTGCTCAAGGTGGCTGCCATGCCAGGGCTCATGGGCGAGGAGGAGGCCAAGGGCTGGAGCCCGGGCCCCCCCATGTACGAGGAATACCAGCCGCCCCCGCTGGACACCATCCGCCTGCCCCGCTATGTGCTCTATCTGCTGATGGCCGCGTTCGTGGTGGTGGCAGTGGCGTATGCCATCGTGGGACACCTCATCAAAGACCTCGCCCACGACCTGGCCGGTGAGCGCCACCCTCCACACTCGGCTGGGGACGGGGGTCCGCGGACCTCTTCTGGGCAGAGGGGCGGGGGACCAAAGCGGAGCGAGGGGCCCACACAGATGTCCCCCCGCAGACTGGGCCTTCGGGCCGAAGTTAGACCAGGAGGACGCCCCTCGGGAACTGTGCGACAGCACGGCCGGCGAGGACCTGGAGGAGCTGGACCTGGAGCTGGCCCTGGCCTGGCGGGCCGACGAGGACGCTGGCGAGGGGACCCCCTCGGAAGCCCGCGCCCAGGACGGCCACCGTCCCTCCATCAGTTTCAAAGACCCGCCGGTGCAGGGCGCCTGGAGGCTGGGCTGAGAGGGGCGCCACTGTGCAGAGGAGCGCGCCGTTGCACCCCAAAACCGACCCCACGCCCCAGCCCTAGCGTGCCGCGGACAGTCTGTAATGGAACTCTTAAGACGCTTTTAAAACCGAACTCACCACCTCTCCATTTTTTGCGGGCCTTGGTGCGGAGCTCTGTCCCTCCCTGACTTTTAAATGCCTCGCGGGGCGGAACTTGCGGTGCTCCTGCCTCAGCCTCCCCGAGTGAGTGCTGGATGGCGGGTGCCTGTCACTGCACCGGGCTTCAAGCTGCACCTGGTTCCCACTCCTGCACCAAGAAAGCCCGGGCGTGCGTGAGCTCACTGAACCCCCCAGGGAGGCCTTAGCTCCCCACCTGACAGCGGGGGACCCTGAGGCACGCCACAGGGGAACCCCCGCACTCCAGGCACCCGGACTGTCCCAGAGACCTTGGCGGAGTCCTGCCCGCCCCACCCCCATGTATCTTGACCCTCACCCTGGCTGTGTGTGATTGGGGGGGATCCTGATGTCCATCCGAGTCCTGCAGCTGCCCTGCGGGGACCCTCAGGCCTCCGTAAGGGCGGGACCCCGGGCATGCAGCAGGTGCTCCGGAAAGACCTGTGCGCTGGTCTCCACTTCCCTTCTCGTGGCTGGGGTGCGGCCTGGCTCCGTGGCAGCCGGGGGGGGGGGGGGCCTGCCTTGGAGGGACGCACTAATTCAGCCAGGGACGCAGGCTGAGGACGGAACCGGGGCCTGAGTCCTCCTGCTCAGGGCGCCCCCATTCTGCAGCCGCTCACGTGCGTGCCCCAGGTCGGGCGTGGACCGTGTCTGTGGCTCTGCGTGGTTGGGTCCCCGAGGCTGGGAGCTTGGTGCAGGCCTAGAAGCCGGTGGCCCTGGGTGGGGAGTCTGCCTGCCCTGGGCTCTGTGGAATGAGGCCCGCAGAATTTTCCAGAACAGCTGGGCTCTGTGGTTTATGCCTTTGATGCCACAATTTGGTAAACTGAGGCAGGAGGATCTCAAGTGCCAGCTCATCCTAGGCAATAAGCAAGATCTGATCTCAACGTAATAAAACGCCCTGAGGGTCGAGGTGTGTGCGCGAGGCCTGGGTACCCTCGCCAGCGCCCCTCCAAAATCCGGGTACGGAATGGACCGTCCGGTCACTGAGCCCCACGGGTGACTGTGATCCTGCGGCTGGATTTGTGAGTTCACACAGCAGGGGAGGGGCCGGAGGGGATGCAAGGTCACCTGGGGGGCCGGGGACCGCAGGGGACCCTGAGGCCCTTGGTCAGCAGGCTGCAGGGCGAGGCGCAGGGCAGGGCGGAGTCCCGCGGAGTTAATGTTACACCGGGTCCAGAGTCTGCTGGGGGGCGGGGGCGCCCCGCCTGCTCGGCCTCAGCGCCCCTTATCCCCGCGGGCGCCCGGGCGTGCTCACACCTGTCGCTGGAGGCCATGAACGCGCTGGGGACGCTGCTGGCGCTGGCCGCCTTGTTCCTGCCTTCGGTCCAGGCCCAGGAGGGTAAGGGGGTCATGGGGTGCGTTCAGTCCCGGGTTCGCCATCTCTCCACTTTCCACGACCCAGAAACTGAGCCCTGGGCGTGCAGCGCAGAGCCCTCCCTCCCTGAGCCCCTGCCCTCTCCAAGGACCCCACTCGCTCAGCCCCCTTTGGGGCCCTGCTTCTCAGAGTCCCCCATCACCCTGTGGGTCTCCCCTTCCCCTCTAAACCCATTCCTCTTATAAGCCCCGCCCCCAGGCCTGTCCTCTCTGCAGGGCCATCCATCCTCTGTAGCCTTTCAGTCTCCCAGGGCCTCCTGGCCCCGCCCACTTTATAAGCCACTCCTGCCACGACCCACCCTTCACAAACCACGCCCACATCTGAACCACGCCCCGCCTCCTTTGTGGCCCCTCCCAGACTCCGCCCCCTCGTTGCGCGGTCTCCTTCGTGGGCCCTGCCCTATGCCCCGCCCTTCTGACCCCGCCTCCTCTGTAAGCCCCACCCACCCCACCTCCCCTCACCTCAGGACCCCTCCCCCAGCATGGCTCCAAGGTCAGGTTCTCTGTGCACTCTCAGACCCTCGCCCCTCTCCCAGTCTGGGGACCCCAGCTCTCCCCCCCCTGAACCCCACCCCACCCCACCCTTGCAGAGCGTCACATGAAGCCGTGGCTGGTGGGCCTGACGGCGGTGGTGGTCTTCCTGTTCATCGTCTTCGTGCTCCTGCTGGCCAACCGCGTCTGGTGCTCCAAAGCCAGGTGGGGACCCCGCTGCCCCGGCAGCCCTGCCCACACCACGTCCAGGCCGCTGCCCGCCGCCCTTTCTGCCTGCACCCGTCCCCTCTCTCACCCCCAAGAGCCAGGGAGCACACCCCTGCTTTCTAGAGTTCTGGAGCCCCTGTGGGGGAAACTGAGGCGCACTGCGTACTCGTCTCCTGCCCTTCCCCCAGTCTTACGCCCCTGTCTCCATCTGCAGAACTGAAGATGAGGAGACCATGGAGAGAATACAGCCCAACCCTTATGAGAACGTAGGCCCGAGGTACTGTCTGTGTGAGCACACGTAGGCATGTGTGGGGTCAGGGGACTAGGGACTCCCATCCTTACAACTGGGGGGGGGGGATTGGGTTGCACAGATGACCCCTTACTGCCTTCCAGTGATCACCTGCCCCAGGACCTTTGCACATGCCGTCCCCACTGATTACAGCACCTTTCTCTCTACCTCCTGGCCAGCTCTTCCTCCTTCAGTCTCTGTTCAGGGGTTCTCTCCTCACAGAGGACCCCCTCTGACCACTAGCCCTCTGTACAGGTCCACCAGCCATTTAGCCACCAACTGAAGTGCTGATCCTCCTTCACGGAGGTCACCGCTCTAGATGGTGGCTTCTGGTATGCAAGGACATAGCTCAGCCCTGGGTACCCCAGGACCAGACTGTTTATTGGCCAGAGAAAAGTGGGGGTGCGGAGGGGCCAGCCTGCCTGGGATCACTGTGGGGGCCAAGATGCGCCCCTGGGTGAAGGCGACGCCGTTCGTGGGTCCCTACAGGAAGGAAAGCAAGGCGGGGAAGAAGGAGCTGAGCGGGGAGAGCAACGCGGGCCTGGAGCTGGGAGAGGCGGGACAGGCGGACGGCTACCAGGAAATGAAGACCAGCATGTGAGCCCCGGCGGCGCCCCTGGACCCTCGGCACCCGCAGCCGCACCCCTGCTGCGCGCGAGCCCAGCGGGATCTGCCGTGGGCCTCGGTCCCGCCCCGCCGGGTGGATCCGGGACCCCCGACTGGGGCACCACAGGTCCCCACTGCGGGGGCTCCGCCGCTCTGCACCCCTGCCCGACCCCCCCACACCCCGCCTGCCTTCTCTCAGGCTGCCTTGGGGCCCTGGGGAACGGGGTGCCCTGCGGGGGTCCCCAGTAAAGACTCAGTACGACCGCTTTATATTTATTTCGGTTTCTTTTGGGGGTGCTGAGACAGGGTCTCGCTGTGCAGTCCTGGCTGACCTTAAACTGGCAGCGATCCTCCTGCCTCAGCCTCCCACGTGCTGGCATTCAGGCCATGTGCCTCCATAGGAGCGCTATCGGGAGGCCCCTGTGACCCCTCAGGACCCCCGGCAGGTGCTGGGGTTAGGGGACCCCTGGGCATGCCCAGGCTGCGCAGCTGGGCACACGACGCGCCCCGGTGCCGTCTTATTTTGCTGCCCTCAGGCCTGGACTTTGAGCCCACCGCGTCGCCTGACGCACCTTCCCCTCCCCACCCCACTCCCGATATTTGGGCCACGTGACTTCCAGGGTGCTCCGAGGGTGGGGTGCCCGCGGCCTGTGCATCGCAGACACCCACGCTCTGCCCTCCCTGACCCCCTTCTCCCTTTCCCCACGCCCTGGACTTCGCCCGGCACAGACCGGGCCTCATGCGGACGCTGATGCGTGCAGGGCGGCCGGGCAGAGCCGAGCTGTCCCCGAGACGCCTCAAAGACCGGCCACCAGGGGGCAGACGAGCGCAGATCACAGCCGCGGGCGCGCGAGCCACGCATGCTCCGTGCGTCCCAGCAAGGGAGGCTGAGGCGGGAGGGTCCCCGGGACTGCGGAGCAAAATCATGTCTGGGAACAAAGAGGCAGCGCTTAGGGCTTATTACAAAGCCTGGTCCCACAGCCGCCAGGCAGGCACAGGGACAGACAGACCCACAGACCGCAGCAGCCAGGTCCTGCAGGTCCCGGCCCAGTGGGCACTAGTGGGGGGGCGAGCAGGGGAAGGGACCCCAAGCTTGCTGCCCGGCCCTGTATCCGCTCAGGGCCAAAAATGAATGTGGCCCTCTGCTCTCTGTGTGACCAAGTAATGCACCAGTCTGTGACAGGTGGGACCTCATCAGAGCCCGCCCCCCCATCCTGCCCTGGCACCCCGGCCGTCAGGACCACGGGAGGGAAGAGTTGGGGGGTCAGGGAGTCATTATCAGGCTTGGGGACCCGCAGCTGAGCAACGAAGCTGATCACCGATACACGTTCCCAGGGGATTGTGTGGGGTCCTGAAAACCCGGCACGGGCAGGGCTTCGGCCTGCTCAGATGCCCACCGCCTCCGGCTTCCCTTCCCTTCTCTCTTCCTCCACCATCCGGCCATCCCCGTCCACCAGGGCCGGCCGTGTATCCATCCCTGGATGCACCGTCCACTAACCACCCCTCACCCACTGGGCAACCACCCATCCACAACCCACCATCCACCATCCACCATCCACCATCCACCACCCACCATCCATCCACCATCCACCATCCACCATCCACCATCCATCCACCATCCACCATCCACCCATCCACCATCCACCATCCACCATCCACCATCCATCCATCCACCATCCACCATCCACCATCCATCCACCATCCACCATCCACCATCCATCCACCATCCATCCACCATCCACCCATCCACTATCCACCATCCACCATCCACCATCCACCATCCACCATCCATCCATCCACCATCCACCATCCACCATCCACCATTTATCCACCATCCATCCACCATCCACCCATCCACCATCCACCATCCATCCACCATCCACCATCCACCATCCACCATCCATCCATCCACCATCCACCATCCACCATCCATCTACCATCCATCCACCATCCACCATCCACCATCCACCACCCACCATCCATCCACCATCCACCATCCACCATCCACCATCCATCCACCATCCACCATCCACCCATCCACCATCCACCATCCACCATCCACCATCCATCCATCCACCATCCACCATCCACCATCCATCCACCATCCATCCACCATCCACCCATCCACTATCCACCATCCACCATCCACCATCCACCATCCACCATCCATCCATCCACCATCCACCATCCACCATCCACCATTTATCCACCATCCATCCACCATCCACCCATCCACCATCCACCATCCACCATCCATCCACCATCCACCATCCACCATCCACCATCCATCCATCCACCATCCACCATCCACCATCCATCTACCATCCATCCACCATCCACCCATCCACCATCCACCACCCACCATCCATCCACCATCCATCCACCATCCACCCATCCACCATCCACCATCCACCATCCACCATCCATCCACCATCCACCATCCACCATCCACCATCCATCCATCCACCATCCACCATCCACCATCCACCATCCATCTACCATCCATCCACCATCCACCCATCCACCATCCACCACCCACCATCCATCCACCATCCACCCATCCACCATCCACCATCCACCATCCATCCATCCACCATCCACCATCCACCATCCATCTACCATCCATCCACCATCCACCCATCCACCATCCACCACCCACCATCCATCCACCATCCATCCACCATCCACCCATCCACCATCCACCATCCACCATCCACCATCCATCCACCATCCATCCACCATCCACCCATCCACCATCCACCACCCACCATCCACCATCCACCATCCACCATCCATCTACCATCCATCCACCATCCACCCATCCACCATCCACCACCCACCATCCATCCACCATCCACCCATCCACCATCCACCATCCACCATCCACCATCCACCATCCATCCACCATCCACCATCCACCATCCACCATCCACCATCCATCTACCATCCATCCACCATCCACCCATCCACCATCCACCACCCACCATCCATCCACCATCCATCCACCATCCACCCATCCACCATCCACCATCCACCATCCACCATCCATCCACCATCCACCATCCACCCATCCACCATCCACCATCCACCATCCACCATCCACCATCCATCCATCCATCATCCACCATCCACCATCCATCCACCATCCACCATCCACCATCCATCCACCATCCATCCACCATCCACCCATCCACTATCCACCATCCACCATCCACCATCCACCATCCATCCATCCACCATCCACCATCCACCATCCACCATTTATCCACCATCCATCCACCATCCACCCATCTACCATCCACCATCCACCATCCATCCACCATCCACCCATCCACCATCCACCATCCACCATCCACCATCCATCCATCCACCATCCACCATCCACCATCCACCATCCATCTACCATCCATCCACCATCCACCCATCCACCATCCACCACCCACCATCCATCCACCATCCATCCACCATCCACCCATCCACCATCCACCATCCACCATCCACCATCCATCCACCATCCACCATCCACCATCCACCATCCACCATCCACCATCCATCCATCCACCATCCACCATCCACCATCCACCATCCATCTACCATCCATCCACCATCCACCCATCCACCATCCACCACCCACCATCCATCCACCATCCACCCATCCACCATCCACCATCCACCATCCACCATCCACCATCCACCATCCATCCATCCACCATCCACCATCCACCATCCATCTACCATCCATCCACCATCCACCCATCCACCATCCACCATCCACCATCCACCATCCACCATCCATCTACCATCCATCCACCACCCACCCATCCACCATCCACCATCCACCATCCATCCATCCACCATCCACCATCCACCATCCATCTACCATCCATCCACCATCCACCCATCCACCATCCACCACCCACCATCCATCCACCATCCACCCATCCACCATCCACCATCCACCATCCACCATCCATCCATCCACCATCCACCATCCACCATCCATCCACCATCCATCCACCATCCACCCATCCACCCATCCACCACCCACCATCCATCCACCATCCATCCACCATCCACCCATCCACCATCCACCATCCACCATCCACCATCCACCATCCACCATCCATCCACCATCCATCCACCATCCACCCATCCACCATCCACCACCCACCATCCATCCACCATCCACCATCCACCATCCATCCACCATCCACCATCCACCATCCATCCACCCATCCACCATCCACCATCCACCATCCACCACCCACCATCCATCCACCATCCATCCACCATCCACCCATCCACCATCCACCATCCACCATCCACCATCCATCCACCCATCCACCATCCACCATCCACCATCCACCACCCACCATCCATCCACCATCCATCCACCATCCACCCATCCACCATCCATCCACCATCCACCATCCACCACCCACCATCCACCATCCATCCACCATCCACCCATCCACCATCCACCATCCACCATCCATCCACCCATCCATCCATCCACCATCCACCATCTACCCATCCACCATTCACCTTCCATCATCCACCATCCACCATCCATCCATCCACCATCCAGCATCCACCATCCAGCATCCACCATCCATCCATCCATCCATCCACCATCCACCATCCCCCCCCCCCTTTTACCCTGCCGAGCCCCTGAGCTCTTGGTTTGCTGGAGCCCCCACTCCGCCTGGCCTTTCTGCCGGTCCCCCCTACCGCTGCTGAAGCTGCTGGGGAGGTGGAGGAGGACACGCGGCCACCCCTCACTCCCACCCCGGGGCCGCCTAGGTTCCTGGGCCCGAATCTCGGTCGACCAAAAGAGGGCGCCCCAACCTCGCTGCCGAGAGCAGAAGGCCCCGCCCTGCAGGGAGGCATGGGGTCATCGTGTGCCTGAGGCCTATCTATGGGGTTGGCCTCTTGTGTGCCTCAATTTCCCCACTTGGACACGGTAGAATGGTCTCTGGCCCATAGTTTTGCCGACCTGGTGGACGCAGCCCCAGGGAGCAGGGACCTTGGCCTGCTGTTCCTCCGGGATCTCACGGGTTGCCCGGAGGATCGGTCCAGCGGGCAGTATTGGGGACCCTCTCTGAGAGCCCCAAGTGTGAGGGATCCAACCTTGTGGCCTCCCTTCTCATCCCCCCCCTCTCGCCGCTCATCCCAGGAGTCGGGAAGCTGGGGACTGAGGGTGCCCTGAGCTCAACAGCAGCTCTGCGAGACGGGGGTCGGGAGGCTTCCTGCAGGGGGCGCTGTGGAACCAAGACAGGGCCCCCCCTCCTCAGCCCTCAGCCCCTAAAGGCTCCACCGCCTTCAGGCCCACAGCCCAGATTGTCCCTGGAGCTCACAGGGCCCTGCACTGCCTTGCTCACCCCCTCCCCGCCTCCTCTGCTCCCTCTTGGCCCCTCTTCCCTCTGCTCCACCCTCCTCTCCTGCTGCCCCAGGACCTTTGCATGGCTGTGCCTTGTGGTGCTCTGCGTTGCAACAGGGTGCTCCCTGTTGCGCTCCGTGTCTTCCTGACTCTGTTTCCTTGTTTTTATTGTCACTCTCCCGCCTGTCTTGATGTCATCCGCCTCACACTGTGAGCTCCCCTAGTCCTCAGCACCTCGCACTCCACACCTTGTGGGATGACCTCTGGGGCACCCGGGGCTTTTCCCAAGAGCTGTCCGGCACCCCGAGTGCTTCCGGTCCCCTGTTGCACGCGCCTCCGTCCCCCCACCCCAGCAGCCGCAGCTGGACGCCAGAAAAGAGGACGCAAAGGCTAGAAAGAGTCAAAGCATAGCTTGTTTAATTTTTATACATTTTTCCTTTTTTTTTTTTTTGCCTTTTATTGAATCTTTTATGGAACCCCCTTTTTTTCAATTTTGTTTTGTTTTGTTTTTGCATAGGGAAACAAAATAACAGCCAGAGTCACTTTCGGAAAATGGTGCTCAGGTAGGCGCGGCGGTGGCGGCTGGCGCAGCGGCAACTGAAATGCGCGCAAGAGGCGGCGTATACGCGGCTGCCGGGGTGGGGCGGCGGGGCTGGGGCTCCCCGACCCTGTCCAGGGGCGCGGCGGCGCAGGGGAGGCCACGGACCCCGGGACGCCCTCTGGGCCCTCGGTTCTGAGCACTGGTGTGCGCGCGCGTGCCTGTGTGTGTGTGTGTTTCCGGGGTGAGAAGCAGGCAGAAAGCGAGAAAACAGAACGCGATGCGGAGCGTGAGCACATACAAACGGGAGCAAGAAAACCAAAACATGAGAATCCACACCCGGACTCGGCGGGCCGGGACAGAGGAGGCCTGCGGGAGCAGGGGTCCCCGCCCGCTGCCCGGCCGCCCTCAGGTCCCTGCCGTGGCCACCTGCTGGGGCGCGCAGGAAAGTGGGGTGCATGGGCTGGGACCCCGGATGTGAAATGGGCTTTGGTTTTGGGGGGCTGCAGCAGCGTGGCTGGGACTCGGGATGGGAAGATGGGGTTCAGGTGCGCTTGGGGGGCGGGTGCCTGGCCCCCTCCCTCTCGAGCCCTGACCCCGTCCTCTCTGTCCTGGCCCCTGCTCCTCCTCTCTGGCCGGGGTCCGGGGAGAACCCCAAAACCACGCCAGCAGACCTGTGAGGCACTGCTTGGGGAGTCTCATTTGGTATCGCGGGCAACAAGTTCCGCGGCGTGGTTCTGCCTGCCTCCCCACCTCGCCCGGAACCGGGGTGCCCCGGCGCCCTGAAATCCTCAGTGAGGTACGCAGGGGGTGCGTGCCGGGAAGCATCCGGAGGAGGCCAGTGTGGGGTGACCTGACCCCAACTGCTCCTCAGAAGCCAAGCGGGAGACGTCGGGGCTCAGGGGCGCCCAGGCGGAGACCGAGGGTCACCCGTGTCACCGTCAGGAGCCCAGGACCCTGCCTTGTGGTGGGCGCTGCTCTCTCTGGGGACACACGGTGGGGAGGGGACCCCCAGCCCGGCCTCTTTCCTGTGTCTGCGGCCGGGTCTCCCTGTGCAGCCCGGCCTGCCTCAGCCTCCCGCCGCTGGGCTACAGGCCGAGCGCACGCTGTCGTCCCCTCCCGACTGGCGCGGGCCACCCGCCCAGAGTCAAGAACCAGAGCCCGGCCTGGCGGGGGACCCCGGCACCCTCTTCCCAGCCAAGCACGGCTGGCCGGGCCGGGCATCCCCGGACAGGCGGGGTGACTTGGGGGCGGATGACAGCGCCCGTGAGGCCTGCACCCCTCACTCTGGCTATTGTCCTAGCTTTGGTCAAGGTCAGAGCGAAGGAAGCCGGAACCAGAAAACAAGGGAGGGAAGAAAAGAACCAGAAAAACCAAAATCGAAGACGACGGCCGGCCGGCCGCCCAGACAGTGCTCGGGGTCCCGGGCACCCGCCCGGCCTGAGCCCGCGCGGCCCCTGGCATGGACAGACAGACAGACAGACAGACAGATATTGCATATATGGAGGGTGTCTCGTTTTCATAGCTGGAAGACGGCGAACAGGAGTGGGGGCGGAGGGGTCCCCCCAGGCTGGTCTCTGGGGACGGCCGGGGACAAGTCGGGGCCTTTGGTGAGGAGGGGGTGCCGAGGGCGGGGTGCGCGTCGGACCCCACCAGCCTGGGCGGGGGCACGTCCTGGGTCCATGCGTGGCTCCCGGGCCAGTGACATCACAGGGCCTCGCTGACTCGGGGACCCCAGAACTGGGCTGGGGGTGGCGGAGGTGAGCACCAGGGGCGCACAGCGGGCTCGGGGCTGCTTCTGTGGCCTCCATAGCGATGTCCACCCTTTTAAAAAGTTCTGCGTTCCTGTTTATTGATTCTCGCGCACGCGCCCGGCCCGGCCCCGCGGTCCCCCTTCTCCCTCTGCTAGCTGTGCGGCGCCTCATGCGGTGGCGGCCGCGCAGGGTGCGGACACGCATTCTGCAAGGCGGCAAGGCACGTCATGTGGCGGGAAGGTTCGTGCAAATCGGGACGGGAAGTCTCTGGGGGCTTTTTTTTTTTGTATGTTTTGTTCTGTTTGTCTTGAAGGGGGGCGCGGAGGGGACAGCCGGGGTGATCTGCCATGCAGGCCGCAGCGCGCGGGCTGGGCGGAGCCAGGGCCCGGCCGAAGCACCATGCAAAGTTAGGTACAGAGTTGGTTCTGGTCGCCCCGACCCCTTGGTGGGGCCCGGCCGGGGGGCTGCCAGGTGCACCCCGGGGGAGGGTGTCCCCCACCACCCCGGCTGAGAAGCTGCCGGATGCCCGGACATCAGCACGACCTCCAGCACCCCGGTCCCCCTGGACATGCCAGGGGACCGCCCTCTGCTCCCCCAGGGCCGGCTGCTGGGGGGACAGGACAGACAGACAGACGACAGACCGAGGGCTGCAGACTCCACTGGGTCACAAGGGCAGGCAGGGACCTGCGGGTTCCAGGGGCCTGGTCCTTCTGTTTTCTGGCCGAGTGGGTGTGCCAAGGCCCTGGGGCTGGGTTTGTGGGAAAGAGTCCGGGGCACGGGACGGACGGGAGGGCGGGGCTGGGGCGGACGAGACGGGGACCCCTGCCCTGGACAATGGCTTTGGCCTAGGATGAGGGTCGTGGGGGTGTATTCCCTACGCCAGGCGTGATGGAGGTCAGTGGGGGGCCGGGGTGTGTGGGCCAGGCTGGGGTGCTGGGTCTGGGCGCAGGGCCAAGACGCCAAGCACCCTCTTCCCAGCACCTGCTCCCTAAGATGTCTGTCCCTGGGGTGATGGGCGGGGATGGGCTGAGGTGGAGTGGGGGTCGGGGGTACCCCACGGCCCCAGCTTAGTGTTTTTGGAGCGGCTCAACGGAAAACCTTTAGCAGATGGGCGGCTCCCCCGTCGGCCGACCCCCCGGAACCCCATCTCGGGTCCAAGTGGGCCCCGTTCTGGACGGGCCCCCTCTCTCTTTGCGGGGGGCCAGCTGGGACGACGCACCCCCCTCCACCGCGCCCCACTTAGGGGGATAAAAGTGCAAAGGGCGCCCCCGGGCGGCGGGAGGCACGGGGAGGGGCCTCCACGATGTAAGGCACTGGCGGGGAGGCGAGGGAGGGGGTCCCCGGAGCCGCCCACCGCTGCCCCTTGGGGGTCCCTTCTCTCTCGCGTGGAGGGGCTCGCAGGTCGGGTGATGGGGAGTGGGCGGGGGGATCAGGCACTTAAACCACTTGCTGTCACCTGCCAGTCCGGACGGCACCCCGCCCCGAGGCGCCCCGTCCCCGGAAAGTGCATTGCGGAGAGTGTGCGACGGGCCGGGGCTGGGGACGCGGTGGCCTCGGTGCCCGAGCGATGCCAGGGAGGGGCTGGGAGGGGTCAAATTGCATAGACGTCTCCTCCCCGAGGGGTGGGCGCCACAAGGCCCCGAAAACGGGGTCCCCAGCGCTGGAGAGGGCAAGAGCGAGTCCTTCGGGAGGGGCCGGGGAGGCGCAGGACCCCCAACCCGCGCTGTCCGAAAGTCCCTGCGTGGCGGGTTCTTCTCCGTGGGGCGGCACTGGGTCCAGCCCGCCCCGCCCTGGGTGTCTGCGGCCCGAGGCCTGGGTCCTCGCGGCCCGGACCCCGCGGCCAGCGCCTGCCTCCCCCTTGGCAAACACTGTCCGTGGGGCCGCCCCGTCCATCCGTCCTTCCGGCCTCACCTGGTCTCCGGGCAGTGGCGGTGGCGGTGGCGGTGGCGGGCGGCCAGGGGGTGGCGCCGGGTGTCAGGCCCTGTCTGTGCCCTGGCGCGCGGCGTCCCGAGGGGTGGCAGGGCCGGCCCCCGTCCTGCGGCCCTGGCGTCCTGGGCGCCTGGGACGCAGCCCGGCCGGCCGTCGCCTCTCCCCTGGCGGCTGGGTGGGTCTGGTTGCTCTGCTGTCCCTCTCCCTCTGTCCTCTCCTCCTGCGTGCATAGTCGTGTGGTTTTCTTTCCGGCCGGGCTGGAGCCGGCGGCGGGGTGGTTGGTTTTTCTGTTTGTTTTTGTTGATTTTTGCTCGCTCTGATTTTTCCATGGAAAACGTGGCCCGGGATGGCAGCGGAGCGGCCTGCGGACCCGCGGCGACCTGGGCTACCCCAGATACCAGGACTGGTGGCCGAGGGGACAGGGAGAGAGAAAGAGGAGGGCGTGTCAGGCCGGGCCTCGGACCTCTGGACCCTGCACCCGCCCGCCGCCGTCCCGCCCGACCTCAGTTTCCCCACCCGCCCCAGAGCGTGTGCGGCTCGGGCCACCCGACCTTGGCTCAGGGCGAGGGTGCGGCTGGACGCAGGCCACCCGGGTGAGGGGCTGTGCCAGCTGGGGGCGCCGCTACCCATCCCGTTGGGTCAGTGCACCTCACACAGCTCAGGGGTTCGGGTGAGTGGACCCCACCCAGCTCTGCAGGGGGGCTGACAGCCAGTGCCCCTCGTGACTTCAGGGGTTCAGGGCCTCCTGGGGCCTGACTATGCTGTATTTCACCCCTTGATTCCAGCCACCTGGTCTGATTGTCCTGCTATAAAGTTGGGGTACAGGACGGTTTCGGGGAATGGATGTGGGCCCGCTCTCTGCCCAGCCCCAAGACAGGAGATGGGTGACCTTTGAGGAGGCCGCTGTTCCCTGGCGCCGTGACCAAGGCCACCTCTCACTCCCAACGGTCCTTCCTCTCCTAGTGACCCCCAGAACCTCCCTCCTCGAGGGGGACCAGCCCTCCTCCTCGTCACCCTCACACTGGTGAACGCGGCCCTCAGAGACCCCGCGGCTGGCCCCACGGTGCCCAGCACCGAAGTGGCAGAGCAGGGGCTTGAACTCTGGCTCCCAGACGCCTTGGGCAGTGTTGGGGGCACCACCCTGCCACAGAGGCCCCCACGGCGCCTGACCAGCCAGCCCGAGCAGCACCCTGTTTACCAAGGGGACACGGAGGCCCGCGGGGTGTCTCAGCCCTGGAACACCCTGTGGAGCCCACCGAGGGGGCCCGGCACCCTGGCCCCCACCTGCAGGCCGGCCGTGCCCACCCTGCCAGCCTCCTGCAGGCCCTTCGCGAGCTGGCGCGCTGCGCCCGGGCTCCCACCCGCCTCCAGCCAAGTCCAAGTTCACGTCGGCCATTACCTCATGTCTGGTTTCCCCTGGCAACCAGACAGGCCTGGGTGTGACCCTCCTGGTGGACCGGCCTCCCCTGGCCGCTCCTCCCTCCCTCCTCTCCTGGGGCAGCGTCTGCCGGGCCCCCAGCCCACCCCACTGGGCATCCCGGGCAGCTTGAGGGGCCAGGCTGGCCCTAACCCGGGGTTTCCTGCCCCTGCACTGCAGGGGTGGGGGTGCCCTCTGAAGGGGGGCAGCGGCCGGAGCCCAGCATGGTGGGGTGCGGGGGGTGCAGGGCAGGCGGGGAGCAGTGCGGCTGACCGCGATGGACCGGGTCTCAGTGGGGGTATTGATCGATCAGATCCGCAGGAGGGGTATTGATCGGGGGGAGGGGGTGCCGACCAGGGCAGGGCAGGGCACGGGAGCCGGCTGGTGGGCAGGCTGGGGTGCGGGGAGGAAGGAGGGGGCCGGGAAGCCGCGAGGCCGCCAGGAATAACACGCGGGCGGGCGCAGAAGTGCTGACCGCGCAGGAATCGCGCGCCCCTCCCCCTCGGCTCCCCGCCGCTCTGCAGGTCTGCAGCGGGGTGCGGGGCGCCAGGGCAGCCCCCGCTATCGCCACCAGGGCCCTCCCCGCCCAGCGGCGGCCACCTCCCTTCCGTGCCCTAGGACGCTCACCGCCCCCAGGAGCCCCCAGGCCGGCTGTGCCCCCCATCCATCCCTGGCTCCCCACTGTCATGGGGGTGGGGGACACTGCCTGGGACCCCCAGCTCTGCCTGTGCACCAACCCCCTCCTGCGCTGGGGACAGGGAGGGTGGCGGGGGACAGTGCAGGCAGAAGCTGCTCCTGGGGGGAGCCCCCGTCCCGCCCCTTGTTTGATCGCGCTGGGGACCGAGGGGCACGTGGGGCGCCCTCTGTGCTGGGGGGCAGCTGGGGGGAGTCCAGGGGGCTTCCTGGGAGGAGCCCAGGGCCGAGGAGGACAGAGGTTCCGGGCGGGGTGAGGCCGAACCGGGCTGGAACCTTGGTCCTTGGGGGGACGGGTCACCTTCACCTCCAACCCGCACGAGTCCCCCACAAACCCAGCAGAGGCAGCCCGGCTGGGCCCTTGCTGCAAGCTTTACGGGACCCGGTTCCCCCTGAGCCTCCTGCCTGCCTGGGGGAGGGGGCGGGCCGGTCCCCCGCTGATGCACCCCGAGTTACGCGGCCAGTGCAGGCACCGTCTCCCCGCCTGCCCGAGTCCCTGTGGGGTGACGCTGGCTGGCTGCTGTGTGACCCCGGGCTGAGGCTGAGCCGCTCCCTCTCTGGGCTGAGAGCTCCAGGTCTGCACAATGGGCGCCCCTGCTCTGCGGCTAGGGAAGCCCCGGGCTGGGCCCTGGCTCTGGGGGGCCCCAGGCTGGCCCTCTGCCCAGCCCCCCGCCCCCCGCCAGCCGGCCTCGCGGCCCCTACCTGTGCCTGATAACTGCCCGCAGGATCCCTTGGTCCTAATCCCACAAAGGGACGGTCTGCAGGGGCCGTGCCGGGCGGAGCGCAGGCTGCGGGAGAGAGACCAGAGCCCGTTAGCGAGGGGGCGCCGGCCGGCCGGAGGGGGCGCCCTGCCCGGGGTCACACAGCAGCCCGCGCGCGGCCCGTGCCCGTGGCCTGGGGCGCACTGCGCTCTCCCTGGGGAGCCGGGGGTCCTGCCTGGGGGGTCCCGGGGTGGGGAGGCCGCGCAGGCGCGATTCACAGCGCACACCCCGCGGGGAAGTGGGGCCCCCCACGCCAGGCCCCTCAATCCCGGCGGCGGCGGCGGCGCCTTAGGCGTCAGTTTCCCTCCCGGAGCCGCAGCAGGGCAGCGCCCGCGCCCGGCCCTCGCCCGCCCGCCGGGTGTGAGCAGCTCGGGGTCCAGGGCCAGGCAGTGGGGGTGCGGGGGCCCTGCAGTGGCCCACGGGGGCGGGAGCAGCTGCTGGGGTCCCCATGGCCGGGCACCCTGGGCCACGATGGGTTTGCAAACCCCGAGCAGGGCCTTCCCTGTCCCCAGAGCCAGGGCCTCGTCCACGTCCTGCAGAAGCACGAGCCAGCACGGGACCCAGAGGGAACCGGGCCGGGCCAGGGTCCTGGGCTCAGCAAGGGAACCCAGGGCGGCTCTGGGGCTCGCGGGGTGCGGGGAGAGTCGCCTTGCCCAGCTATGCTGGGGCTGGGGCCCACCGAGGAGGGGACCCGACCCTGAAACCGCGGGGTCAGAGCCTGGAACCGGATCCCTGGGGCCACCGAGGCCCGGAGCTTGTATGTTGGGGTCGTGCGTGGTGTTACCACAGTGGGGCCCTGCGGGAACAGGGCTCTGCATGTGACCTGTGTCACTGCCCGGGAATCTGGAGCTGAGGGGTTTTTATGGTAAACACCTATTTTAAAATGTCACCGAGGTCTCACGGATGGAAATGCTGTGGGGCCAGGGTGGGCTCGGGCCTGCAGGCTCACTTATCATCATCATTACGTGCACTTCTGCAGTTCTGGGGGCCAGGCTCCGGCTCCCACACTGAGCCGCACACCCTGCCCGCTTGCGGATCTGGAGGCAGGACCTCCCTAGGATGGTCACGAAGCTGCCGGCTGGAACCGGCCACTCTCCTGCCTTAGCCTCCCGCAGCGCCGGGTGACAGGTGGGCGAGGCACGGCGGGGGACTTCTACAAACCCAGGAGGGAGCGAGCTGAAGGGCTCAGGTCCGGGCCGTCACCCTGGCCTGCCGTGCCGAGGCTGCCCCGGCCCCATGGACGCCCCTGGGGTGGCCCGTGCCCACAGGACTGGGCAGCAGGGCAGGGAGGGCCCCGGGGACAGGGCACACCGGCTCCTGCGTGCTTACTGGGCGAGATGTACGGTGTGGCCCGTCGCTGGGAGGTGGCAGTGGGTTTGGTAGCCGGGGACAGTGCCAGGGGTGGAGGGGCCAGCATCGAGGTAGGGACGCAGTAACTGGACATTTTGAGCTGGCCACTTCCGTTTAACTGAGGGGGACAGAGAGACACGTGGTTAAGGGGGTGGGCGTCCCCTCCACCTCAGGATGCTGGCGCCGACGTCCCCGGCTCTGTGCACGGGGCCAGGGTCTGAGAGCGGTCTGGGCCTCGAGGCGCTGAGAGCAGCCGGCCCTGGAGGAGCCGGGGGACGGCTTCGCCCATGTCGCCGGGTCCCCGGGCACTGCTGGGGTCCCACGTACCCCTCCATAAGCCACCTGCGTGCAGACTGACTTTCCTCCCAGGCGATGCCACCTCGTACAAAACCACAGCACCAATGTTTTACCAAGTATCCCGGGGACAGCCGGGCAGCGGGACCCCAGCCCGGCTTTGAGCTCTGAGTGCCGAGGGCTCTGGGGGCGCCGGGCACGCCTGGCGAGGGCTGAGCTGGCCGGGTTCCCCCTCCTGGCCTCACCCCTTCCCACTTTTTTCAAGTACCGGGCTGACCCCAGGGCCTTTGCACTGGGCTGTCCGCCCCAGCCCTTCCTGAAGTGTCTGACCCTGAGCCGGCCTCAGGAGTCCCTAGGCTGGGCCTGCACTTGGCACCCTCCTGCCTCGGCCTCCCAGAGCTGGCCGGACGGGCCCGGGCCATGCCCAGTATGGCTTTTTTTTTTAACCAGTTCCTCCCACCCCATGTCGTCTGTGCTCTGCATCCCTGGACGCTGTGAGGTCCGCGAGGGCCTGGCAGGAAGGCCCCTCTTGTACCCTAGGAGCCACTGACCACAACAGCTGGCCAGCTCTACATTTCCTGGATCCAAACCACCACACTCCAGACCTGTACTCAAAACACCAGCAGCCACACAAGTCGAGCGTCTCAGCGAGGCCCAGTGACGCGCCGAGGGGGTCCCCAGGTGAACCGGGGCCCCCGAGAGGCCCGCACCCGACCGTCCACTCACCGGTCCAGGCTGCTGGCTGGCTGGGTCGCAGGCAAGCGAGACGAGGTCTTTGAGCGGGTCCTGGGGGTTGAGGTGGGGCGGGTAGCGGATGGCCGTGTGCGGGAAGTAGGTGGACGCCGTCTGGGGCAGGATGGAGGTGGCGGGGAAGTGCAGGGCGGAGGACGGGTGGGGGCTCCGGGCGATGCCTGCAGGGAGGCGGAGGCACGGTCACGGGCTGCTGGGCAGCCCTGCTCTGCACCCCGGGGCCGGGCCGTCTAACGGCACACCTGCTACGAGGCCAGGAGTACGGAGCCCTCGGGCCGGCAGCACCGCCGAGGCCAGGGTCTCCTCACAGTCACTGAAATGTTTGCAGTCGGGGGTACGAACCCAGGGCCCAAACACGGAGCCACAATCCAGCCCTTTTTATTTGGAGACAGGCCTGGCTTTCTTTTTTTCGTCTTTTTGACGTGGGGTCTCACTATGCAGTCCAGGCTGCCTTGAGCTCACTGTGTGGCCCAGGCTGGTCTTGAACTCCCGAGGATCCTCCTGCCGCAGCCTCCCGAGGGCTGGGATGACAGGCGTGCACCACCACGCCTGGCTCTAAAATCTCACTAAGTTGCTAAATTGTTCAAACTGGGTGCAAACCTGCAACCTTCCTGCCTCAGCCTCCTAGAGTGCTAGGATTACAAGCATGTGCCACCACACAGGGCACGTGGCAAATTTAGCTCTAGTATCCACTTTGTGACTGAGGGGTCAGTAAGTTCGGCCCCCTGGATGCTCAGGGTCCACTCTCATGACCCAGCCACCCTTAGATGGAAAACTTTGGGAAGAAAAAATAATTAAGAATAACGTACCAAAGCTGAGCGTGGTGGCTCTGGCCACACTGTGGTGGGTGTCAGGCCCTCATGCTTTTTCCTGGCTGAGTAACGCTCCACAGTGGCACCTGCCTTCCCTGCCCTGAGCAGCTCGGTGGCTGTCAGAATGTTTTCTCTCTGCAGTGGCCACACCCCGCCTCCTCCGTCCCTGGCCCCTGACTAGAGTACCGAATTTTTGGCTTTGAGATGTCAACCAACTCTGCCTCCTGGGCAGAAGCGGCCAGAGGTGGCACACACAGATGCTGGCTTGTGTGCCAATAAAACTTTATTGACAAAGACCAGGATGCCAAGGGCCACTGTTTGCCAGCCTTTACCCCCACGCTGGGCTGCTCTGATCCATCCTGGCTTCCGGCACCCTAGTCCTGCTAAAGCAGGACTGCCCCCCTGGGAGGCTCCCAGTACCCCCCACATCCCGCTGGGACAGAAGAGGAGGTGCATGGTGACATCATCTTCCTGTCTGTCCAAGGGGCCCTGTGTGACCCCAGAGACCCCGTCAAAGCCTCCGCCCCACTTCCCCAGACCCGTGAGGTCACACACAGTGTGCTCTTGTACAGACGGAGAAACGGAGGCCAGAGCAGGGACCTGGCCTGACACTGTACGGGGGTTCCCCGGCACCAGGGACGGCTTGGGGCCGTGGGCCTCACCGCTGTGCACGGCGATGACCGGCCGGTGGTGCTGGGTGAAGCTGGACAGACGGGGCGAGTCCTGGGGGGACGGGCTGTTGAATGGGGACTTGTCCATCTCTGTCTTCTTCACCGGTGAGGACATGCCTGGGGAAGGGGACAAGCGTGTCATGGGCAGCCCCGGCGTGTGGACCATGCCAACCTGCTCCCGCCATCCCAGGGACCTGCGGTGACTGGGTGGGCAGGGAGCCCATTTCACAGGACAGCAAATTGAGGCCCAGAGAGGCTGTGGTGCTGGCTGGGGCCAGCTGGCCGGTCACCACCCTAAATGTCATAGCTTGGGCCCCGCCCACTGTCCTCCAGGGGTGCTCAGGGCCGCCCTGACCCCTCTCCATGGTCACCGCCTCTGTTCCCCCACCCCATGCTCCCAGTAAACAAGCAAAGGAGAAATGGAGGAGACTCCGGTGGGCACCATGTCCCCCTCCGTTCCCGAAACGGGAATTCCTGGCCAGCAGCGGCATGGGAAAGTGGGCCAGGGCACGGTGACCCACAACTGCCAGAAGTCGTCGTGCCAGGGACACCCAGCTGACAGACGCTGGCACATCAGTTTTTTCCCAGGGGGCACCTGGGCTCCCTGTCCCCTCCCTGGAGCTCCAGGCTCTGGGGTCCTGCGGCGGCAGGCTGTGGGGACTGGGGCTGGCCCAGAGGATCCTGGGGTCCCACTAGGCACTGTCACCCCTCCCCTTGAAAATTAATCCAGCACCCAGCCGGGGATGTGGAGGCCCCGACGAGGGCATTCCAGGGACTCCTGGGGGGCTGCCCTGGTGTGGAGACTCGGTAGGCCCTTTTGTGCCTCAGTGGGCCCATCTGTGAAGTGGGCACCTTGGGACCCACAAAGGCCAGTGTGGAAATCACGGTGGCGGCCAGGATGCAGCCTATGTGTCACACAGAGCCCAGAGCCACAGTGTGAGTCACACAAGGCCCCCCTGGGACACCCAGCACGCTGCAGGCCCCATGGGGGTCCCGGGCCTACACCTTTAGAAATGATTTTTAATCCTGATTTTCATCGACAATGACCGAGCTCTTTTCCATTTCTCTGAAGCTCTTAGTCCAGTTTCCCCCTTGGACGCCGGGCTCTGGGGCCGGGCATGGTGAGGCGGGGTGTCCTGGGCCCCCAGGGTGGTGAGAGTGGCCCTGGCCTCTTCGGGCTGCGCGGCCCGGCTCCCCTGGGAGCCCTCTCCTTCCCCCTCTCTCCCCTCTCTCTCCCGCAGCGTCCTGTCTAGACGGCCCCCAATTAGCTGCTCGTTAGGGCCGCTAAGCTGATTACGGGGCTCCTCCAGACTGGGGCCCTGGTCTGTTCCCAGCAGCTGCAGGCGTCCCGCTTGGTACCAGGGCACAAGGCCTGGGGGTCAAAGCCCCGGCTGGGCCCGAGCTCCCGTCCTGTGGCCACGGGACAGGGGCGGGTTTCTCTTCCCAAGCCCAGTTCAGTGAAGCCCCTTCCTCGCTGTGAGTCCTGAGCCTCAGTTCCCCTAACTGTCAGCTGACAGGTGGCCTATGAAAGACAGAGGCAGCTGCTGGGGACCGGGGACAGGTCGCCCGAGGGGTGTCCCAGCAAGGCCACTGTGGCTTTTGCCGCGGCCACCAGTAGGGGGCGATGTCACCTCTCTGAGCCTCGGGGTTCACCTCTGCCAAATGAGGTGTTCTTCAGATGTCAATCAAGGCCAGGGCAGAAACTGTCACCTGTTGTCTACTTAGTGACAGCACACAGTAAGACTGCATTCCTCAGCATCCATCAGAGCCAGCCATGTGACCAGATGCTGGGCACAAAGACAAAAAGAGGTCAATGCCACTTCTGAGAAACATTCTGGAAGGCCACGAGTATGCCCACACTTCATGTCTTTCCCCCGCCCCGATTTTTTTTTTTTTAAGCTGGGTGAAATGTAGACATGATGGCAGGTGCCTCGGCAATCATCTTGGATCATGAGGTGGGAATAAAAGTCACATTCGGCAAAACCAAAGGCAGGCACCTAAATCTCTCACATTTTCTAGGGCTAAGAACTGGACACCTATCTGTGACGGAAAAAAAACACACTATCCTTTGAGTGATACGTCTCAAAAATCCTATGTAAGCCCCAAGACAGCTTCTTAGGGGAACACATCAGGGATAAACATCCCCACTTTGTAGATGAGAAAACTAAGGCCTGGTTTGAGGGCGGGAGGGTGGACCTCCAGGCAACTGCAGGCAGGGGCTGGGCTATGCCCCCAGGCAGGTGGATGCGGGAATTCCAGTCAGGACGCCTTGGGATAAAAGACTACTAAGGGCAGTGCTTCTAGAATCCAGGGGTGCCAGCCACCCCTAGGGGACATTTTGCACATCTGTTTTCTGAACCCCAGTCGCCAGCCCACTAGAGAGCAGAAAATTTTGTGATGCAGTTGGTGTTTTGTTTGTTTTGGGTTTTCTTTTCTTTCTTTCTTTTTTTTTTTTTTTTGTCTTTTTCCTTTTTATCGGTACCGGGGATCGAACTCAGGACTGCCTGCTTGCAAGGCAGGTGCTTATGCCGCTCTGCTAAATCCCCAGCCCCCTGTTTTGGGTTTTCAAGGCGGGGGTTTCCCTACGTGGTTCAGGCTGGTCTTGAAATCAGTATGCAGCCCAGGCTGGCCGGGAACTCCAGCGACCCTCCTGCCTCAGCCTCCCGAGTGCAGGGATGACAGGCGTGCGCCACCACGCCTGGCAGAAAGCAGAATTTAAGATACAAAGGATTCTCTATGATAAGAACTAGGGCACAGGCCGGACGCCCAAAGGGAAATCTTAGGAGAAATTCCTGGCAGACACAGTCGCGGTGCGAGAGTTTTCTCCTACAATACAAAAGCGACCTTAGGGAGCCGCTGACCCTACGAAGCAGGAATTCCGGGGAACTCCAGGACAGGACAGCAACTGGACAAAGTCTCCCCGGAGACCCCAGGAACAAGCACTCTGCTGATCCGGTAACTCTGGAGCTCAGAAACCCCCAAGACAAGAGGACTTAACAGGAGAGGACAGGAAAATCCACACAGAGAAAGGGGCTGCACGCCTCCGTCTGAGCGGAACCAAATAGCTGCGGGAACTTGTGGTCCCAAACTTCATTTCCAAACCGGCACAGCCCAATATGACTACAACTCCCAGGAGGCCCCGGGGCTCGAGGCTGGCTTTCTACTCGAAACCCCTGCGCAGTGCCTGCCGGGATACGTAGTCCCGGTTGCCATAACCCCAACCGGAAGGCCGGCTCCCGCGTCCCCAGCCGTCAGCCCTACCTCCTTCCATGTCCTCCGTCCAGTTGCGGCTGCTACTCGTGGGAGAACTAGGCGAAGTGTAGTAGTCGCCGCCGGGGCTCGTGTCCACGTCCTCCTCCATAGAGCCGGATTTGTGCCTCTTACTCCTAAGGGGCGAGGGACAGGGCAGTTACCATGGCGACTCGATGGCGGGCTTTGCTGACTTCCGCTTCCGGGGGGAGCGGGACTAGGGAGGTGCTATCGCGAGACATCACGAGAACCACGGCCTTTCACCCAGTTCGCCCTCGACAGCTGTTCCAAACTGCCTGTTATTCGCACGGGACACCCGGGGTCAGAGGCGGGGTGGGGAGTTCCGTAGAGGTCCCCCGGCAGACTAGCAGAACGTGAACTGACCCGGATGGCCTGCCCAGAAGGATTACGGTCTCATTTTACAGATGGGGAAACTGAGGCAACGTGCCCAACCCACTCTCAGCATTACTTCAGCAATTATCTGAGTCTGCATTCTCAGCGGGCTCCCAAGGGCTGGCTGGGCCAGCAGGACTTGAGGCCCAAGTGGGTCATGAGGGATGGGGAGACTGGGCATTGGGATTGGGTTTTAAAGGATGAATAGGAGTCTCTAGGTCCAGGTGCGGGGTGGGCTTGTGGGTGGGACCACGCAGTGTCCAGAGACCCAGGCAACATACCCGCTGGAAGAGGTGCTGGGGAGCGTCCTCCTCATGCCGGTGCTGGCTGGGTTCAGGTCGTAGGCCAAGTGCCCCTGCAGCTCTCCCAGAGAGAAGTTGGGACCCGTTCCAGTCACCACGGGTGCTGAACGGGGCAAGGGACGGCACGTGAGGCAGGCTGGGGGGCCTCCCGGGGCCGCTTCCCAACTGGGCACTCCCCTCGCTGGCTGCACTCGATGTGGCTGACCCCACCTCGCTGCGTATGGGTCAGAAACGGCTGTGCAGAGGGGCCGAGGCCCCACCAAGAGACGGAGCCAGGCTGTGAGGATGGGGGCAGGGAGGGCGCTGGGCAGGCTCAGGTGGGTCAGGGGGGCCGACACGTGCAGTCCCCAGCAGAGGGGCGGGCAGGAGGGAGGGAGGGGCCGGCAGATGGAGGCTAGTCCGTCCTTCCTTCGTTATCTTTGTGTGGCACTGCGGGTGAACCCCAGGGCCTTTGCACTGACTGCACCCCCAGCCCTGTCTGGTTTTCACTTATTCATTTACTTTTTCTGCCTCCCCACACAGCCTTTGGATTCCCTGCCCCGGGAGCTGGGCATCCCAGGCGGGATGTGTGACCCGGCTTTGGGCTCTCAGGAAGACTCGGCCACCTCCCATCCTGGGACTCCCGGGTTGGGGACAGTGACAAGAGGACGAGGGGGACAGGGAGGCCTCCGACCTTCTCCCAGCCCGGGGACACCAGAGACACTCACTCCGAGACACCTGGATGAGTTCGGTGACACTGAACACCCCCGAGGTGACGAAGCTCTCCTGGAAATCGGTCGTGTCTGGAAAGGCAGAGGGCGGGTCAGCGGGTGGGCCCGGGCTGGGCTGCCGGGGACCACTTCCGGGATACAGAGACAGGGTGGCCCCAAAGTCGGGGCAGAGCTTGGCCAAACCCTGACATCCTGGGGCAGCCCTGCCGCCCTGGACCCAGTCACCCCACAGTGCACAGGGCATACAGTGGGCCAACAGGGCCAGTGGAATAGTACACAGCCAGGAAGAGGGCCAGGCCTGTGACACTCTCTCCGCATCAAGGACAGACAGGAGGACCCCGTGCTCCGAGACAGACACCAGACACAGAGGACACTGCGTGGGCTCCATGGACAGAAAACGTCCAGGACGGGCAACTCCAGAGGCCGGAAGTGGCCTCATGGCTACTGTGTGTGGAGAGGGCCCAGTGGCCACGGGGACGGACAGGCCTGTGGAATGTGCCGGAACTGCATCGTGGTCCGTGGTAAGGGCTGCACCGCCTCGTGACCTGACTCAGTGACACGAACCTGTGGTGGCTCATGCCTGTCACCCCGCACTCGGGAGGCTGAGGCGGAGGATCGCCACAAGGTCAAGGCCAGCCTGGGCTGCACGGTGAGCTCGGGCCAGCCGGAGCCATACAGGGAAAGCCCCCCTCGAACACGACCAAAAGGAGCAGACAGAAGGTGGCACCGCTGGGGACGGTGCCGCTCCTCGCCCCCAGGGGGCAGCACAGCGATGGTGCGAAGGGGGCGACGGACGCTCCCCTCCCCTCCCGCTCCCCTCCCGCCGGCCCTTTGTGCACCCCGGACCCCCCACAGCTCCAGCCCGGCCTTCATGTTTGGAGACCGACTCTCAGTCGTCACTAGATGCCCAGGGCTGGCTCGGGCGGGACCCTCCTGCTTCAGCCTCCCAGAGCCCCAGGATGACAGGCACTGGGCAGCGGCCGGGACCCCTCGCCAGCTCCTCCCTGGGCACCACGGGTGCGGCGAGGCTCGGGGAAGGGGCACCTCCGGGGCCCGGGGCGGTGGCTGTCCGCGTGTCCAGGGAAGTGGCCGCAGCATTTCCTGCTGACCCAGCTGGACAGCTGGTGTGGACGCGGCCCCTGCCCTCCCTGTGGCCGGGGTTTCCTGTTTGTGCCGGGCCCGCCCGGCTGTCTCCGGGGGACTCCCTGGCGGGCGGAGAGGACGAGATTTCCTCTGGCAGACGCCAGGCCCCGCGGGGCCAGGCCTGTGCCCTGTCCATGCCTCCCCCCAACATCTGGCGGGCGGGGAGCGGGGAGCGGGTCATGGGCCCCCCTCCCTGCCCGGGCTGAGCTGCTCGAGTTTCTCTCTCTGTCCAGACACTGGGCACCTGCTGTGTGCTGGGCCCTCTCCCAGTGATCCAGACAGACAGACAGACAGACTCTGCCCCAGCCCAGGGGACGCCCTTTGTGGGGGGAAAGAAGCAGACGCCTATGCGGTCACTGAGCACCCACACAAACACAGTAACTTCCTGGGGAGGAGACAAAACAGAGGGCCGCGGCCACTGGAGCTGAGGCCACGGAGATGTGGAGGGAGATGTGTCGTGTAGCTGTCCCGAAAGAAGGCATGGGTCGTGCAAAGGCCCTGGGGCAGCAATGGAGGCCCAAGGTGCAGCCGCAGAGAGGAGGCTGGAGCAGAAGGGCGAGGGGCAGGGAGGGGACAGGAGAGGCAGGGAGGGGACGGGCGGGCTGTGCAGGGCCCCGCGGACTGCAGGGAGGACCTGGGCTTTGGCACCTGGAGGTGGGAGCCACGGAGGGCAGGGGAGAAATGCGTGGAGTCGGCGCGCAGGGCGCCCCCTGGTGGCCGCCGCGGGAAGACACCTCGGTGCAGGTGTGGGCACCTTGAACTCACCCAGCGTGATAGGTTTGCTGTCCTCCTGCTCCGAGCCCATGCCCGCCCGGGGACTGCCGCTCTGCTCCGCGTCTGCAAGACAAGGAGAGCCGGTGACAGGGTGGGAGCGGGAGCACCTGGAGTGTTGACAGGCCCGGGTCCAGAGCCCAGGTTTCCCTGTCGGGTTGTTGTGCTGGGCCTGACCTCAGGACCTTTGCACTGATCCTTGTCCCCAGCCCTTTTTATTTTTCATTATTTTTGAGACGTTCCCAGCTTGGAACCTGAGACCCTCCCGCCTCGGCAGACCCAGCTTTGCCATTTTTGCGCTGTGCATGCCCGGGCACGGCCCTTGCCCTCTCTGAGAATCCACTGGGCAATGCAGGTAACTCCAGCAGGACCCAGGCATCCTGCTGCCCGCTGGACAGCGCCTCCAGCATCTGTGGTGCCCAGCCTCCGCCTGGCCCTGTGGCCCTGTGGCGCTGGCCCTCGGTGTCGGGTTCTGGTTCTGGGGGCTGCTGGCAGCTGTGTGCGGCTGTGATGTCCTGGATGCTCTCTCTCCATCTTAGCTAGAAATACGGAGAGGGGGACGCTGAGCTCAGCGCTCGGGCTCCTGCAGGGGGCAGCGCGGGGCGTCGGGGGCTCCGAGGAGGGCGCGCAGGTCCCCGTAAACGGTGGAGTCCGCTGGGGCCGCCGCCGAGCCCATCCCCGGCCGGGGTCCCGCTGGATCGCCAGTGTGGGTTCCCACTTGAGACCCTCCTGCCTCGGCCTCCCGAGTGCTGGGCTGACAGGCGCGCCCACCACGCCCAGTGTGACCCTGTTTCAAAATTCAAAATAAGAGACGAGGGGCTGGACCCGCGCAGAGGTCTCGGGTTCTGTCCCCTGCCCGGCCCGAAATGCCAGCACGGTAGCAGCCCGGTATTGGTTTCCCGGTGTCGCGGGCCAGGAGAGTGGCCGCCGGGCAGCCTTGGCTGTGCCACCGAGCCAGGGCGACCTGGCAGCTCCCCGGCTGGGCAGCGCGGCCCTCGGCGCCGGCCAGGCCCGCTTGGGAAAGGCCCAGCGCGGGCAGCCAGCCGCGGGCCTCGGCACGGAGCCTCCACCGGAGGGCGGCCGTGCCCGGTGGCACTGCCTGGCACCTCCCGACACACCCAGGAGGGCCCGCACAGGGTGGCCTGGCACCGCGCGGCCCGGCCTGCAGGCTGCACGAGGAGCACTCTGAGCCGGCTCTGGGAGGCCGAGGCAGGAGGACCCCACGAGTGCGCCCGGCCTGTCACCCCAAACCCTGCAAAAGCCACGGAAGGTGCAGCGCGGCGCGGCTCCCCACACGGGGCACCCGGGCAGCCTGGTCCACAGGCTCAGCCTGGCGGGGAAGCCGACCGCTCCCCAAAGCAGCCCGCCTCGGGCAGAGGTCCTGCCCGTGACCCTGCCCCGGGGAGCGACGCGGGGACAGGGCTGGGGAGGCGCGGCATCCAGCGGCACCTTCCACCAACCCCAGCCTCGCCCCCAGGTAAATAGCAGGTGCTCAATAAATGCACGGCCCGAACAACCTGGCTGAGGCCTCCCTGCCCTGGAGGACCAGGCCATCTCTGCCCGGAGTCCCCCTAAGGAGCAGGAGGTTTAAACAAATTCGCTGTGGACGGGGCAGGGTGAGTGAGGCGGCAGGTCCGGTCCCCCATCTTGTCGCTGTGTGGCCTCAGGGAAAACACAGTCTGTCTCTGGGCCTCACGGCCCCCTCGCTCCCCAGACGTCTGCTGCTCGGAGTGACACGCAGAGGTGAGACAGTCGCACTCACGCTAGTATAAATGAGACCGTGGTGCCTGGCAGCCGCTGGGTGACTTCCCAAGGCTGGGTGGGGTTTCTGTGCAGCTCAGACGGCCACGCCCCACCCCGCAGCTCTGCTCCAACTAACGCGGGCTCACGGGCAACGCCGGCAACATAAGCTGGCCCCCGCTGACCAATGTACAAACTGTTCCTTCCTGTCCATGGCTGCGAGCCCAAATTTGGTCTATCACAGCTCAGGACAAAGTGGCGGTGGCCTGGCCTTTCCTCTCCCTGGACCAGCACCTCCCTCCTGGAGGCCAAGCTTCTGCCAGTCATGGTCGCAGTTGGAGGTCACTGTACAGCCCAGAGCCGACCTAACAGATGTTTTCTGACCACCTAGTTAACCTGCTGGATGGAAGTGGCCTCCCGTGGTGAGCTGGCCGCAGCACTGAAAAGCAAGTGCAAAGGTCCCGGGGCAGGGGCAGGCAGGGGTGTGTGCAAAGGTCCTGGGGCAGGAACAGGCAGGGGTGCAGAAGGGCCTCAAAGAGGCCACACAGCTTTCTAGCCGTGGGAACAGGGCCGGGGTGAGGACGTGAGAGGAGGGAGTTGGCTCTGAACCACTCAGGCCACACGGAGAAGCTCGAGTTTATTGCACGGTGCTGTCAGGGGTGCCGACCCCACGTGTATTTACTTATTTATTTTTTTCCAGTACGAGAGGAAGAATGCAGGGCCTCTGCATCCCCGGCTCACTTTTTAAGTTTTGAGACAGGGTCTTGCTTAGGTGCCGAGTTCCCTGGGCTGGGGACAGCGTGTGACCCCGTGTCTCAGCCTGCCAGGGCTGGGGTGAGGCGCGAGCCAGGCTCAGAACCTTCCACCCACTCACGGGGGGACCTGGAAACCCCGGGCTGGGTGGGGGAGGGGCGCGAGGTGGCCAAGCCGCTGCAGGAAGCGGCCGGTAAACCTCAGGTGTGCAATCGTCACAGCTCCCCTGCCCAAGCGATCCCCCCGGCTGACTTGAAAATGGGGGTGCAGACAACGCCTGCGCGACGTGGGGCTCACAGCAGGCTGAAGGTGGGGACACGCAGCGTTCACAGAGGTCAGAGACCCCACGCTTGCACTGAGGAATACTACTCGGCCAGGAAAAGGAGTGCAGCGGCGCTCGCCATAGAGTGGAGGGACTCCAGGCGTTCCGGCCAGCCCTGGCCGTGCGGGGTGACCCCACACACGGAAGAAACCCGGTTGTGACGGGTGAATATCCGGGGCATCGCCGCCGGGAGGGGGCCGGGCCTTTCCAGCAGCCGCCCTGCTCCAGTCTGGCCCGGGCGCAGCTGGCTCGGCCGCTGCCACGTCCGCCTCCCCGGGAGGCAGCTGCCAAGGCGAGAGGGAAAGCCAGGGCCTGGAATCCCCGCGGCGCTCAGCCGGCTCGGCTCGGCCCAAGTCCTCAGCACTCGGGCCAGGTCCTCCCTCCTCCCTCTCCGCCCTCGGGGCTCCCACCTCCCTGGGCCAGGGCCCGAGTACTCCTACAGCCCGCAGGGCCCTGCGCGGCCTGCCCGCCCTGCCCCTCCACACCATGCCAGGCTCCCTGCTGCCCCAGGGCCTTTGCACAGCCGCGCCTCTCCCTGGACCCTGCACGCGACCCTGCCCTCCACAGCCGTGTGCATTTCTATTTTGGTTCAGATGTTTCTGGGTACACAACCTCTGCCCCCCAACCCCAGCATGTGGGCTGCGCACCCACTGTCTACGAGGCCCGGCCGGACTGTGGGAGTGACACAGTGACACTCACATGTCCCCTCGGGGGGCCACTGCCGGCTGACACCGCACAGAGACAGTGGGCATCGCCTGGGCTTCCAGGCCCCCCCCCCCGTGAACCCCACTTCAGGGGCTCTGGAGAGAAGGCGGCCCCGAGGGCCTCCCCACGCTGTGTGACCTGCTCCAAAGCGCTGTCCCTCTCTGGGGTGTCTGGAGCAGCCGGGCACGGTGGGCACTAGCCCGGGGCGGGGAGGCCGAGGCAGGAGGGCACCGGGCGTCGGAGGCCACGCAGCGGGTGCCAGGCCGGCCGGCTCTGCCCCAAGAAAACTAAAATTAAAAACATTAAAAGCAGGGGACAGCAGGCGGGCAGCGGGCCCGGGAGGCGGCCATCTGGACAGGACGCGGCTGGCCGGGTCCCTGCGGCTGGGCCCGGGCCAGGGAGTCGCGTCTGAGCCGGCCGGCTCCGTCCCCACGGCCGGGGTCCACCCGGTCCTGGCTGGCCGCGTCCTGCATCCTGGGCACCGGCCAGGTGGCGGTGGGACCGTCCTGGCCACACTGCTGCCACCCGGCCGCCGGGCGGGCCACCCGCCCTGGTGACATCACCGGGTGGCCATTTCCTGGCCTTCGGCTCCCAGACGCTGCCGGGCCCAGCGGCCATCTCAGGCCGGGCGGCCCTCGGGGGAGCAGCGCCCTCCTGGTCGCCCACAAAGGTGACCCGCGTCGGTGCCCGGCCACCCGCCTCGCACAACGCCCGGCCCCAGAGGCCGCCGGCATAAAAATAAAGTGCTCGGCCGGCCAAGGCCACCACCGCGCCACCCCGACGGTGTCAGCTGTGTGCGGGCCGGGGAGGGCCGGCGGCCTTAAAATAACCGTGTTTACATCTGGAGCCAGTTCTGGGCTCCCGCCCGCTGGCCCCGCCAGGGACACGGCGTGGACGTCCCGGGCCATGTCCCCAACGCCCCGCAGCCCCGAGGAGGCAGCACAGGCCAGCCCAGTGCTGTGTGGCCTCCCGGCCAGCGCTGACCCTCTCTGTGCCTCTGGGGGAAGAACGGCCCCACCCCGGCCCGCCCAGGTTTCCCCTGCTGCAAAAATCAGACTGGCACAGGGGCCGGCAGCGGGCACCTGACATCCCACCAGCCAGGAGGCTGAGGCGGGAAGGTCGCCGGTCAAAGCCAGCCTCAGCTGCACACCAACATTCTGTCTCAGACACAATAAACCCAGGGTGGGGACCCAGATTGTGGGGGCATAAATTCCAACTCACAAGGACAAGAAGCAGTGTGGGGTGCCACTCACGCAGTGCCCACCTCAGTGCCCGCTCTTGTGAAGTTCCCCCAATGGGCCAAAGTCCTTGATAGAAAAGGAATGTGGCATGGGGGTGGGGAGGAGGGGACATTGGAGCTGGGATCCTGATGTATGAGTAGGAGTTTGTCAGGCACAGAAGGAACTCACAGTAGATAGTGTATGAACTGTGTGAACAAATGAACTCGCCCTTTCCTGAATTCTCACTGTCAGGTCTAGGGGTTCACAGGAGATTTATGGGGTCAGAGAGAACCTAGGGAGGTGAGGTGATTGGTCTGAGGGTACAG